ACCAGCTAAGATAAGGATAAGGAAACACCATCAGGGGAGCCATCCGCCCCGGCAGCAGCAGATCCACAGCAGCGGCCAAGGCACTGACACAGGTACCATCCAGAGTTGAATGGGAAGCTTGAGCTTCCTAGATTATGTGAAATATGTGAAAGCAGTTTATCCTTGGCTTTTGTGTCTGTGTTCACTCTTTTATTACTATACATTATGTTTTTATGTTGTATTATTTATTCCAGGTTTTAGACTGTCAGATTGATTCTTGACAATAATAAACCGTAATGAGCGTTTGTCAGCTGTTTCATACTCGTTAAAATGCGTTCACATGATATAGAGTACTTTAGAGACCTTTCATCCTGGTGAGGGCTGGCGGTTCTGAGCCAGGTCCGACCCAGAAACCAGCTTCCCTAGCCCGCTAGGAATTTTTAAAAGCTGCTCATCCTCTTCTGGAGCTCAGCGTGGACCTCCCTGAGCTGGTTCTGGCGCTGATCTGGGATCAAGGAGCCCTCGGGTATTTTTAAAAGCCTCCCATGGATGATTTGAGGCATGTTGAAATCCCATCACATCACCAGTCTGAAGTGCGCACCACAAACTACCGTTTATTTTTTTTTCAGCTGCACAAAACGCACCAGGAAATAAAATAGTGCCATTCCTTCTCTTATTTGGAAACCCGTGGACTCGATGTCTGGGCCTGCTGGAGTTTGTACCACTAACACAGTAGTTTACCATTTTTAAGAGAAATGAACAACTCGCCACACTGAGCTTCAGGCAGGACTATCTTATATCTCCCCGTCGTTACACAAGAGGTTAAGATTTAAAAAACAAAACGTTTTTAGAAGCTTTGCTGAAAAAGGCACTTTTTACTTGGAAAAGAGGCCGTTATGTATTGCAGGGGTGGCGTTAGGCCCGGCTACTTGGGCTCAAGCCCCGAATCTTTAATGAAAAGCCCCGGATCTCAAACGTGGAAGTAACATGCAGTACCAAAGTCCAACAGAGAGGGAGCAGCTGGCAGTAGTTTGTATACAGCCTGCCTGAGCCTCCACCACTGAAGAAGAAGCCCTTCAGCAGCTGGTTTCTTCTGCAGTGCCCGGTTTCTTCTGCTGTCTCTGCCTGAAACGCATGAGTGAAGATGGACATAAGGACGTTTTTTAGACCAAAAGTATGGCGACAGAACCCCAGCTTTGATGAGACTGGTGCTGACTCAGGTTTGTGAGTCTTATTTGAAAATATTTGTTGTGCTGCTGGTTTGCCTAAAGTTAGCTTATCAGGTCAAGCTGATGGAGAAAGAAAGGGAATATTTACTATCATCTCACACTAAACACTAACAGGAACAATACTCTGCCTGAATATGCTTAATATGTAACTTCAGATTAAAAATTATGTGGTACAAGACACATATGTATGATGTTGACTAGTGCGTGTCACGTGTGTGCGCGAGCGCGTGTGTGTTAAGCCCCGGAACTTCTTCAGTCTTTAATCCACCCCTGATGTTAAAAAAAAAAAAAAAAACACAATAAGCATTTCAAATAGTAGTTTTTTGGACAGCAATGTATATTTACCTGCAATTTCCTCTTTAAACAGTGACTTAGACATTAATTAGAATTTCGTAGCATTTGCTGTGTCTGCAGTCATGGTTGTGTCCTTGATTAGCAAGAGTCCTAGCTTTCTTATAAATAAAAAATGTACAGGTGCTGGCCAGTAAATTAGAATATCATCAAAAGGTTGAAAATATTTCAGTAATTCCATTCAAAACGTGAAACTTGTACATTATATTCATGCAATGCACACAGACCAATGTATTTCCAATGTTCATTACATTTAAATTTGATATTCATAAGTGACAACTAATGAAAACTCCAAATTTGGTATCTCAAAAAATTAGAATATTCTGAAAAGGCTGAATATAGAAGACACCTGCTGCCACTCTAATCAGCTGATTTACTCAAAACACCTGCAAAGGCCTTTAAAAGGTCCCTCAGTCTTGTTTTGAAGGCACCACAATCATGGGGAAGTTTTCTGACTTAACAGCTGTCCAAAAGACAATCATTGACACCTTGCACAAGGAGGGCAAGACACAAAAGGTGATTGCTAAAGAAGCTGGCTGTTCGCAGAGCTCTGTGTCCAAGCACATTAACAGACAGGCGAAGGGACGGAAAAAATGTGGTAGAAAAAAGTGTACAAGCTCTAGGGATAACCGCACCCTGCAGAGAATTGTGACGACAAACCCATTCAAAAATGTGGGGGAGATCCACAAAGAGTGGACTGCAGCTGGAGTCAGCGCTCCAAGAACCACCACGAGGAGACTCATGAAAGACATGGGATTCAGGTGTCGCATTCCGTGTGTCAAGCCACTCTTGAACAAGAAACAGCGCAAGAAGCGTCTCGCCTGGGCCAAGGACAAAAAGGACTGGACTGATGCTGAGTGGTCCAAAGTTATGTTTTCTGATGAAACCAAGTTCTGCATTTCCTTTGGAAATCAAGGACCCAGAGTCTGGAGGAAGAGCGGAGAAGCACAGAATCCACGTTGCATGAGGTCCAGTGTAAAGTTTCCACCGTCAGTGATGGTGTGGGGTGCCATGTCATCTGCCGGTGTTGGTCCACTCTGTTTCCTGAGGTCCAGGGTCAATGCAGCCGTCTACCAGGAGGTTTTAGAGCACTTCATGCTTCCTGCTGCTGACCAACTTTATGGGGATGCAGACTTCACCTTTCAACAGGACTTGGCACCTGCACACAGTGCCAAAACCACCAGCACCTGGTTCAAGGACCATGGTATCCCTGTCCTTGATTGGCCAGCAAACTCGCCTGACCTTAACCCCATAGAAAATCTATGGGGTATTGTGAAGCGGAGGATGCAATACGCTAGACCCAACAATGCAGAGGAGCTGAAGACGACTATCAGAGCAACCTGGGCTCTCATAACACCTGAGCAGTGCCACAGACTGATCGAGTCCATGCCACGCCGCATTACTGCAGTTATTGAGGCAAAAGGAGCCCCGACTAAGTATTGAGTGCTATACATGCACATTCTTTTCATGTTCATTCTTTTCAGTTGGCCAACATTAGAGAAACAAACATTTTTTCATTGGCCTTTAGAATATTCTAATTTTCTGAGATACCAGATTTGATGTTTTCATTGGTTGTCACCTATAAATATCGAAATTAAACGTAATAAACATCGGAAATACATTGGTCTGTGTGCATTGCATGAATATAATGTACAAGTTTCACGTTTTGAATGGAATTACTGAAATATTTTCAACCTTTTGATGATATTCTAATTTACTGGCCAGCACCTGTATACGTATGTCAAATAAATAAAGAGAAAGAAAGAAAACATCTTTTATTTAGCGCCTCTCAAGATAAAATCACGAGGCGCTTCACAAACAAAAAAAAGTTAATGTATAAAAAAAAATTTCTAATAATATTTAAAAATACATTTAAAATGAGAAAAAATATCTAATTTGTGATTAATAATAATAATAATAATGCATTGAACTTATATAACGCTTTTCTAGACACCCAAAGACGCTTTCACACACACTCACATTCACACACTTCTAGTGATGGTAAGCTACTTGTAGCCACAGCCGCCCTGGGGAGGTCTGATAGAGGCGAGGCTGCCATTTGGCGCCGTCGGCCCCTCTGACCACCACTAACACAGGCAAGTTGGGTGAAGTGTCTTGCCCAAGGACACAACAGCAGGATACTCCTGGCGGGAGCTGGAATCGAGCCCATGACCCTCCGATCATGAGGCAACCCGCTCTACCACCTGAGCTACTGCAAAAAGATGGTGAATTGTCCTGGAAGTCTGAAGTCCCATCCACCAGACTAATCCATAGACAAATAAATCTAGTCTTATTGACCGATCAGTGAAGGGCTCGGACTATCGTTGATGGTCGATAAATTCATCCAGTTGCCCCATCTCATTCACATTTAATTTTGAACTGGTGTCTATCTTTCCTAGTATGAGTTGTTAGACCTGCTAAAAGGTCAAAAGTTCACATGTGGACCGTGCGATCACGTAGTCAGAAACTGGCTGATTCCACTTGAGTCTCCTGACGATGTAATCCAGCAAATGCACTCCGCTGTGATTATTTGGACAAATGTGGAACCAAAAAGCTTCCAGTTTAAATCTTAAAGAATGCAGATGTTTCTCATCAGACTTCAGCTGAGCTTGCTAGCAGCTACAGTACCGCTAGCTGCCTGGCCAGTTTTCATACTTTCCATTTCCCTACAGCTGTTGCACTCCACCCTGCAGGTTACGTTTAAGCGGAGACAAAACTCTGGGACTTGGCCTGGACAAGCAGGTTTGAGGCATCTGTTAAGTGCATAAGAATGGTGGGGAAAGTGATCTTAAAGGAGAGGGAGGAACAAAGCTCAGAGGAGCTGATATGTGATCTGTACGCCTAGACTGATGGGAGAGATCCCACAAGACGAGTGTTTCACAGGCTGCAGTGAAGGAGAAGTTAGAAAACATCTGTCTGGGAAGTGATTCATAGCTTCAAATCCCAGCTTAAAGCCAGATAAGTAGTTTGTCATATATAAAAATGTATATGTGAGCGTTTTCTAGTGAAATGATGTGGAAACACTTGGATCTTAACATGTCTTGTTTTAAAATTCTCTGTTTTTTGCCCTCGTTTCCCTCTCTCACTCCCTTCCTGACTGTTGTCATGGTTCTTGTAATTTAATGCTGTGTGGCATTCGTCCTGTGTGTGTGTTTGTATGTGTGTGTGTGTCCAGTTTTTTTGTATAATGAAGAGAGACAGGTTAAGTGTAGGATAGCGTTTCAGTTTGCCCTTGAGACGTCGTTCGTTTGAAAAGAGTCGACCGTTTGTGTGTCAGAGTAAATGACGCGTTATCGTTTTCCTCTTCATTCATTCCTCCTTTTTTCTCCACCTTTCGTCTCTTTTCTCACTTATTTTCTGTTGGATTTTCTCCCCTACACACATGAATGCCTTTTCAACTCGTGTCCCACGCCAACACATTTCTTTCTTCGGTTTTATTAGTTGGTATCTTCAGAGACTCCAGCTGCAGAGCCTCCAGTTGCAGTGGTGCCCCCCGTGGAAACGACGACCCAGCCATCACCACCTCCACCACCCCTTCCACCCCCTCCTGCAGAGAGAACTGGAGGCATTGGGGACTCCAGACCTCCCTCCTTCCAGTAAGTGAAGCACACATGTGAAACATCTTCTCTGTTTAAATATGAAATGCCCAGACCTGCTGGTTGTTCACCTGTTGTTTTGTAGCTTTAGCATAGAAATGCTCTTTTCTGGGATATCTCACTCTCTCGGTGTCAAGTTCCTTCTAGAAAACTGTAGCTCATTTGTAACACATCAGCTGGAGCCGCCCTGTTCCTTACAGGTTTCCTAGTTTAATGAGCTCACAAATGTTCTCACAACTTAAAAATAAAAATGCCCTACTGCTTCAACCAAATTATTGTAAAAGAGGAAGCTTGCGTTTACTTAAAATACTGATAAATAAATTTTCCCAGCCACCCTGATACAGTTTTTAAGCAGGGAGAGTTGGTTTTTGCTTCTTTTTCTTTCACATTAAAGTCAAAATGAGAACAAACATTAAATAGTGTTGTTAACAGGTGTTACAACCCATCCTAAGGATGCTGGGCTTGATGGTGAAAAGATGGGAAAGTAACCAGCCTTAAAACCTGATGTGCAGGTGGAAATTATTTAAAATAAAATAAAATCACAACAAAACAATCATCCCAAAATTCAGGGAATCTAACAAAACCAAACTAACTCAACTTTTGGGGAATGGTCAACAAAAGATAAATCTAACTGAAGATGAATAAAACTACCTTCGCTTATCTTTAATGTAGTTTCAACCAGCAAGTTACAACGCAATGAGCTACTGCTGCTAGACTAAATTAGCTTCAAAACCAGACAGTTTAACGTTGGTTACGTATTGTAACCCTAGATTCTATGAGTCTAGTCACAGCCCTTAAGCGAGCTGCTATTGGAAGGATGATCTCCGCATCAGCCTATCATGAAGAGCTTCAATGTACGCCCACTAATAGTGGGCCCCCTTGTGGGTATATAAGTGGAGCGACTCCACTGTTCGCCTCCGATGGCTCTTAGTCCTAACAGAACCAGTGGGGCCAGTGGCTTAAGGGCTGCGACTAGACTCATAGAATCTGGGGTTACAATACGTAACCCAGGGTATCCGCGGGTCCTTAAAAAGTCTTAAAAAATCTTAAATTTGCTTTTCTAAATTTAAGGCCTTAAAAATCCTTAAAAATGACAAATAATCCTTAAATACAGTTTCCAAAGGTCTTAAATTACCAAAGACCCAATGAACAAGAATTTCTAGCATTTTTTGTGTATGATGTTGGCGTAAGCGGAACCGTACACATTCAGTTGGTTGTGAAAGAGGGCTATTTTTAGATGAGCACATTAGCTGGTTAAGCTAGTGGGAGCTTGTGCCATGGGGAAGTGCAAGTTTAATGGTAACTGGGTGGGTAATCTCACGTTTGCGACGTGGTTAGCACCGGTTCCAGGCAATAGCTGGAAATTATAGCTTAAATTTCATTTAAAAAATAGCTTAAATTTGGTCAAAGTGGCCTTAAAAAAGGTCTTAAAAAGTCTTAAATTTGGCTCCCTTAACCCTGCAGATACCCTGGTAACCAACGTTCTATTTCGTCTAGTCTTAGCCCTTAAGCGAGCTGCTATTAGAATAATGCGCAGCTGGATGGGTTTACGCCACACTGGTTAGCTCAACCAATGAACACACCCAACACGCCTTTTTTAGGGAGGGGCGCTCAGCCTCAGCCCAGGCTCGAAGGCTGAGGCAGCCAAAAATAAGAGTGAAGCCCCCACTAAAAAATAACATCCATAAAAGGATGAAAATCATTCAAGCAGGGCTGATGGGATGCCATAAAGCATTCATTCAGCCTGCTGCAGTCCAAGCACTGAACGAGTGACAGAACCTGAAGACACATCTCGTAAATAATAACGAGTAAAGGAACAGGGTGATGCCTATGAAGCAGCCTGACAAATATCTTCCATTGACACACCACTGAGGAGCGCCATAGAAGAGGAAATCCCTCTTGCTGAATGAGCCCTGAGTGTCTCAGGAGGATCCCGCCCTGATGATGTGTAAGCGAGTGAAATGGCGTCACATAACCAGTGCGAAAAACGCTGGGTCGACAGCGCCTGCCCAAGGGAAGACTCCCTGTACTGCACAAACAGGCTTTGTGAGCGGCAAATCCCCGAAGTGCGTGACACATATCGTGCGAGCGCGCGCACCAGGCAGAGAAGATGGGAAGCCGCCTCCTCATCAGAATTATGGGGAGGAGGAAAAAGTCCAGCCAATGAAATTGACCTGGATTTGAAGGAAGCCGTAATGTTTTTGGGCACAAAGGCTGGGTTGGGGCATAAAACAGCAGACCCGCCATCCTCCCGGATCCTGAGGCATGCGGGAGCCACTGAGAGGGCGGTCAGGTCGCTCACTCTCTTGACTGATGCCAGTGCCATCAGCAAGGCCGTTTTGAGTGACAGGAACTTGAGTGAGACCTGGTCCTAGGGCTCAAATGGGGCTTTAGATAAGCCGTGTAGAACCACCGTGAGGTCCCACTGGGAAAACAGCGGCCGGGACACAGGTCTGTTCCTCCTGACGCCTTTTAGAAAGCATTTTGTGAGGGGATGACTGAAAACAGATTTATCTCCAAAGCCCTGATGACAGGATGAGATAGCTGCAGCATATGTCTTAATAGTGCTGAATGCGAGGCCTCTGTCCATTAGTATCTGTAGAAACGATAGGACATCCGCCAGCTGGCAGGAGAGCGCTTGAACATTCCGTTCTGTGCACCAGTTCTGGAAAGCTGCCCATTTAGCAGAGTAAGATGCCACAGTAGAGGGCGCTCTTGCACTCTGAATCGTGGCCACCACATCATGCGGCAGCCCAGCAGCCTCTAAGCGTGACCGCTCAGCGGCCAGACCCAAAGCCTCTGGCCTATTTCGGGAGGATGTCTGATTATCCCATCCGCCTGGGGAGGGGCGTCCTCCCTTCGCGGGAGTCTCCACGGGGAGCCGGACAGTAGCGCTTGCAGGTCCAGAAACCATGACGCGGACAGGTGTCTGGGAGCCACCAGAATCACCGAAAGCTATTCTGACCGAACTCGGTCCAGGAGCCGGGGAATCAGAGGGACTGGTGGAAACGCATAGAGGAGCGTTCGAGGCCAGGGCTGGTGTGAGAAGGCGTCTGCCCCGAGTGGGGGTCGGTCCCGGGGGCTCAGGGAAAACCACAGGCGACACTGAGCGTTTTCTCGAGCCGCGAACAGATCCACAGAAGGTACCCCGAACCTGATCCAGATCAGCGACACCAGCGCAGGATGCAGACGACAGTCGGAGTCGCGGGGACCCCCTCTCGACAGGATGTCCGCTGCTACATTCAGGACCCCCGGGATGTAGGTGGCCTTGATGGACAGCAGGTGGACATGTGCCCAACACAGTAAATCTGTGGCTACACGCAACAGAGGGAGAGACCGAACTCCCCCTTGGCGATGTATGTAGGCTGCTGCCACCCGATTGTCCATGTGAACTTAGACATGGCGGCCCTCGAGAAGGGCAGCGAAGTGTCTGACCACCTTCCTCACTGTCATCAGCTCCAACACATTTATGTGTCCGTGCGTGTGGGAGGGTCAGCGATCTGCCACCGTATGGGACAAGCACGTGCCCCCCCCACCCCAACAGCGACGCATCCGTAAACACAGCCACGTGTGACGCAGGGCGTCCGATGGGAACTCCGTGTGAAAGGGTGCAGGGGTTCCCCCAGTGAGCGAGGTCCCCGCCCACTGAGGGGGGAACCCTCAACATACGTGCCTTCTGACGTATTGGGTGCACCCGCAGGCAGATAAACCAACGTTGCAGGCGCCTCGTGTGCAGTAACCCTAGCGGCACCACAGCGTGGACTGCAGCCATCATGCCCAGAAGTTTCATGATTAACAGGGCCCTCACAATCCTGCGGGGTTGCACGCGGGAGATCACCGCAATGAGATCTGCCGCTCTCACCGGCGACAAACGTGCTCTCATCAGGGAGGCATTCAGCTCCACCCCGGGAAACACAATCGACTGGGACGGAAGGATGGAGCTCTTCTCCCAGTTTATAGAAAACCCCAGGGTTGACAGATGCTCCATTAACTTCCTGGTCTGTTCCGACGCCTCGTCCTCGGACCGAGCGCACAGGAGCAGGTCGTCCAGGTAGAATAAAACTCTCATTCCCGCCGCGCGCAGTGGCTGCAGCGCGGTCTCCAGACATTTGGAGAAAGTGCGCGGGGCTAGCGAGTAGCCGAAAGGGAGGCGATTGAATTGGTATTGAACTCCCTTGAATGAGAAGCGCAGGAACTTCCAGTGCCTGGGAATCACCGGGATGTGGAAGTATGCGTCTTTCAGGTCTATTGACGTGAACCAGTCTCCGGAACGCACGTATTCCAGGACTTTCCTTATTGTCAACATGCGGAAATGCATCACTGCTATGGAGCAGTTGAACAGGGAAAGATCTAGAATCGGTCTCATTCCTCCCGACTTCTTTGGTACTACGAAGTAGCGGGAGTAGAAACCCGAGAGCTCTTGTCCGCGAGGGACTCGGGAAATAGCGTCCTTGGACAGCAGTTCCCGCAGCTCCAGCTCCAGGGTCTGAGACTGAACTCGTGATGTGAATGTCGTCTCCACGATCCCTTTGAAGGGAGGAGGAGCGGCCTAAAAATGGAGTGCGTGACCGTAATGAATGGTCTCCGATCATTTGCTCATGGCACAAAGGCGGCGCCATTCGTTCCGACAGCGGACGCGTGTTCGCGGTCACGTGTGTAATGTCTGAAGACTGAGTATGCGCCCTTACCGCCGTCGCTCGCCCCAGAAGACTGGGGGCGACCCATGGAGGGCTGTGCTCGAAAGGGCGAGTGTGAACCAGCTGGAAGAGGCTGATCCTCACCGCGGGGTGTGGAGACCAAAGCAGCAGGGCGTGTGGGAGCCGGGACCATACACGGGGACGGCAAAGTGCCCGCGGACGGAGCCGCGTACTGTGCCGCCGCGCGTGACCGCGGCCGCGTCATGACGTCCCGTCCCACCCAGCATTGTGGGGAAAACGGGACGGGCTGGGCCTGGCCGGAGGCCGGGGCCGGTGCGCGAATGGAGCACACCTTTACAGCCGGTAGTGAGACATGACTGACTGCGGGAATACGTATATGTGCCGCAGTGCTTGATGTGGGGAACGTGTGTGAAGAGCCAGCAGAGGACTCTGCAGAGGACTGTAGGATTGAGCTCTTTAAGTGACGTTTTTTGGGTTTTATTTCAAAACCAACATCAACAGCAGCATCAACAGCATTACACTCATTAACACACACATTCCCCCCAAGGAGTCATTTCCGTGGCTGCTTCCGGCGAGGCTCCTGTGCCTGCGACTGCCACGACGGCGTCTGCTGGCTCCGTCGAACCCATTTGCCGCCAATTCGCTGGTCTCTGAGGTGGAGCCAAAGCGGGGGGCCGGCTCCGTGGAGCGGGCGGCGCAGCTGGGCGCCTGAAGTTCCCACGCCGTTCGTCCCATCCTCTGGCGGATCGGCCGGAGTCCGAGGCTGACCAAGGGTGGACCAAGTCTCGCACCGTAGCTGATAGTTCAGCTGTCTTCTGAGCCCTCTCAATGACGCCCCTAAGATGGGGACCGAACAAAACGTCAGAGGTGATGGGGCCTTCCAGCATCTCTCTGTGCAGGTGATCAGGAATGGAGGGCAGGGCCTTGAGCCACAGGGCCCGCTGGATGAGGGTCTGCCAGGCAGCAATGCGAGCAGATCCGGTGAGCACAGCAGCGCATAGATTGAGGATAGCATCAGTAGTTTTAATGATGGCGGTCTTCGACTCATCGGGAGTGTCCAGCTCCTCCATCATCTTCGAAACGCCGAAGGCGAGAAGGGCGATGTTATTCCCTGCAGCGCCGGTCTGAAAGGCACACTGGTGTGCGCGGTCGTTGAACCGTGTCAGCAGCTGGTCATGTTTCGAAGCGGGAACTGCTCGCGGGCCAGTGAGGTGGTTCTTGGCGCCAAACAGCGAGGCCAGGTCCGGCTCGAGTGGAGGAATGGACGGCCAGCCCTGGTCGGAGAAGCCCTCGACCTTGGTGATGGGTCCGTAGGTGGAAACTGGCGCCTTGAGCTTTGCAGGCTCGGTGAAGGCGGCGTACCAGCAGCCCATAGCAGCGGGGAAGCGCGGCCAGATAGGGTCTGGACAGCGCATCTGAGTTGTCCCGAAAATTCCCGCCAAGTCATCAGCTTCAGGCGGGGGCAGTTCTGGAGCGGCTAGCCCCTTGCAGACCGCAGCCGCGGAGATGATGGCAGGCAGCTCCTGGAGCAGTGCTCTTACTGCTGGTAGGAAGGAGCGAGAAGCCGCTGGGGCAGGAAGACCCACTGAGCCAGGCTCGTCGACCTCTGTGTTGTCTAGGAGGGAGGAATGGCTAAGGCGGCTAGCCTCGTCGTAGTCCTCGCTGTCGGTGACGTCATCCAGCCGGTTGAAGCCAGCCGGCTCCTGACCGGCGTTGAAGAAGTCCAAAGCCTTGTCCAGCGAATACTCCTCAGCCACCGGGAATTCCTCGGCGGCGGCGGGAGTGAAGCACTCGACCCGGCGGATCTTCTTAGCCACAGGCAGAGCAGCACAAAACGGGCACGAGGCCTGGGGGGTCAAGGCCAGGCCAGCGTGATGAGCCCCGAGACAGACCTTGCATTTGGCGTGCAGGTCGCCGCTGGAAATGGAGCCCGTCTGGCAGGCCGGGCAGGTTATGGCGTCGCTGGACATGCTGGTGAGTCGTAATCTTCTTGATAATTGCTCTTTAGAGAAGCTCTCAGGCTTGGCATGAAGAGAAAAGGGAGGCGAACAGTGGAGTCGATCTAAACAGCTCTTCCTGTCCGATGGATGAAGCGTCCCTTTTAGCCCAGAAGATGCTAATCAGCCCAAATGTCCGCAGCTGCGGAGAAATCAGGTTTCAGCGGTCCACCCGGAAGTTGTAGGTCCATTGCGTAACAACCCAAGCGGATCCAACAGGAAGGGAAAAGGGCTCCAGATATCCATCCGGGTCTACGGAGGATGAACGGTGTTGTCCGGTGGAGTGGGCGAGCTAAAACGACACAAACGAGTCTCCCCACACAAAATACGAACCCCTAGGGTACGTAACAACAGGATTCTCACATGTGCTTTAACTTCTGCAATTACCCGGACTTTTAATAAGGATTTAGAAATTATAACTGAAATTAGTTACAATTTATAGATGATGATAAACATTGTAAGACAAAGAAGTGAGATTATAGTTTTTAGAACACACATACCGTTTGTGTAAATCGTCACCACCTTATAAAATATAAAAATCTTTTTTTTTTAATTGCTTGAGTTTGAAAGTTGCAAGGACCCTGGTTCAAGCCCAAGGAAGCTCACCCCATTGCGCCCTTTTTTCCAGCACATCTACCAAAATAAACCCTGAATTATATTTTTATGTGATGCTAGTTTTATTCTGAAACAATCTCAGGGTGGAAACCAAAACCATCCATCTAAAGTATCAGTGGACTCAGTGGTCTCCTTTAAAAAGCTGCTGAAAACTCACCTGTTCAGACTGGCTTTTGCTTGACCTTCTGTTGATTTTTCCTCACAACCTTCTCTTCATTCTGCACTTTCTTCCAGTTCTGCCTTTCTCTGGATCCATTCATTACCTCTTTCTTATTCCTTGTTTTTTCTTCCTTCACAGTTTTTAACCTAAGTTTTCCCTTTTCCCATTTTTGTTGCAATATTCCTTCTTCTTTTTCTTGTTCTTCTTGTTCTTGTTCCTCTTCTTGTTCTTGTTCTTCCTGTTCTTGTTCTTCTTGTTTTTGTTGTTGTTCTTCTTGTTCTTGTTGTTGTTGTTCTTCTTCTTGTTCTTGTTCCTCTTGTTCTTGTTCTTGTTGTTCTTCTTGTTCTTGTTGTTCTTCTTCTTCTTGTTCCTCTTCTTGTTCTTGTTCTTCCTGTTCTTGTTCTTGTTGTTCTTCTTCTTGTTCTTGTTCCTCTTCTTGTTCTTGTTCTTCCTGTTCTTGTTCTTGTTGTTCTTCTTCTTGTTCTTGTTCCTCTTGTTCTTCTTGTCCTTCCTGTTCTTGTTCTTCTTCTTGTTCTTGTTGTTGTTCTTCTTGTTCTTGTTCCTCTTGTTCTTGTTGTTCTTCTTGTTCTTGTTCCTCTTGTTGTTGTTGTTCTTCTTCTTCTTGTTCTTGTTCCTCTTCTTGTTCTTGTTCTTCCTGTTCTTGTTCTTGTTGTTCTTCTTCTTGTTCTTGTTGTTCTTGTTCTTCTTGTTCTTGTTCCTCTTCTTGTTCTTCCTGTTCTTGTCTTCTTCTTCTTGTTGTTGTTGTTGTTGTTGTTGTTCTTCTTCTTCTTGTTCTTCTTGTTGTTGTTCTTCTTCTTCTGCTGCTGCTGCTGCTCCTTCCCCCATGGAAAATCTTAAGTTTTGGGGGATTTGTACGAAATGGGGGCTATTTTAAATAACTTTTTTAAACAAACAGCAAGTAGCGCAAAGTGTCTCATATTCCTGAGCTGTTTTCTTTTGGCAGATCCCCTTAGGAGATCAAATCACCGACGCTTTAGTCTCAGACCGTTTCTGGATTCACTGTAATGCGATGAGATGCTATCAGGTGGTCGAATCTTAAGTGAAAACCTTCATTGAAGTGACGAGTAACTGGAGCGTTGCCTGTAACAAAACGCTCTGAAGTCTCACCACACAGATCTGTGTGTTTTTGAGCAGAGCCAACATGGAGGATTTAACATATATAAATGTATTCACCGGTGTCTTTTTGAACAGTTGGGCTGTAATTATGTTGTTGTTTCCAGTCCCAATGCTGCGGGCAGTGTGGAGACGTTGGACGACCCGACTGAAACGGAGTCTGTAGTTTCCTTCAGAAGGGAGAGACCACGGCACCGAGAGAACGTAGATCAGCACGGTGAGAAACGGCACATCTCGTGAAAACAATCCTTTATTATCAAGATGTGGCACACTCCAATCTCCCAAACACTGGCTGATAGAATCAGGAGCGTCCACGAGAGGAATGTTCTCCGGGATGTAGGAGAAACAAACGCCAACACAAAGCCTGTTGTTGATTGTTTTCTTTTTATTTCCTGGGGATTCTGCCGTGTTTTAAGGGCCCCATGTGAACGGCCAGAGTCGGCTGGAGCGCCACCTGGCAGGGTACGAGAGCTCCAGCACGGTGATGAGCAGCGAGCTGGAAACCACCAGTTTCTGTGACTCTGAAGATGACGACACCATGAGCAGGTGAATTAAACAGTTCAAGTAGAAAAGAGAGATTTGTTGGTTTATTTTCTGTGTATAAAACCAGTCTTGGGCAGTTTTTACTCTTAATTTTATTTATTCCTTTAGAGTTGAACATCTTTCTTTTCCCAGGAAATAACCATAATTTAAAACTTTTTCTATTCAGCAGAAATAATTTATTTAAATGAAGTGATTAATTATCTTTTTAAACAGAAAAATATTAATAAAACATTTGATAAAAATAAAGATTTACGAAGCCTCCTGGGGAGTTTTGACCTTTCGGCAGCATCATTTGTTTGTTTTTTACCGTTGTGTAGGTTCAGCAGCGCAACGGAGCAGAGCACTGCATCGAGGCTTCTTAAAAGGCACCGTCGACGGAGGAAACAGCGCCCCCCACGTCTAGAGAGGGTACGGAAAATCACCTCTAATCATTTCTTTACTCTGATTTAAGTAAGTAACGTGATGTTTTCTTTAATCACAGGCCTCATCCTTCAGCAGTGTGACGGATTCCACCATGTCCCTGAACATCATCACCGTCACACTCAACATGGGTCTGTACACACCTGGCTTATTACCATTATTAAGAGTAAATCTGTGTGAGGGGCACTAATCAGTACTATTGCCATGATCAACTGGTGGTTCCCGGGCCAAAACTAGCCCCGCATACTTGCTCTGGTTAGCGTCTGATGTGTAACAATGGCTTTCCACTGGATGCACAAGCGTTGCATAACATCTGCAGAGCATATGCTACAATAGTACTATACTGTACTATACTATAGTTGATAGTTTTGTTTCCAGTGGGGCAGACCATCAAGACGAACCCCTCCTTTCCACCAGGCGCAAAGGAGGCATGTAATGTAATAAAGTCGTTTTACCCGTGAGCTCACTCCCAACCGGGAGCATTTCAGACGCGTAACAGGAGTGCAGCAGGTCCCGCAAGGTCACAAGTTCACGAGAGAATTCCGACACCACTTGTGATTTTGGAAGTTCGCACGATAACAAGCAAGGAGTAAGATGGCTGCATGAGTCCAAAAAGGTTCTGTTGACCTTGGTTACGGAGGTTTCACAGGAAATGGTGTACGTTTTTTTTCTAGTAAAGTGACGGGAAAACTGCACGTTAATTTGACTTTGAAAGTTTTGGGGTGTTTTACACTGCTTTTGCGTCTGACTTCCTGTCTGGTCCAATCTTAACTGCAGAGTTTGATGTGTGTTAGAAGTATAGCGCGTAAAGGAAAAGGCTCGAAACGTAATTAAAGCGTTCCTTCGCTTCTGGAACGCATCCAAAACGTTACACCTTGCAGCCGGTGGAAAGGAACCCGTCCTCTTTTACGGCAGCTAATTGTAGCTATTATAGTAAACGGGCTTCGTTCCACCGGCAGGCGTTTCATGATGTTTTTGTGTTCGGTGGAAAGTGGGCGTACTCTTCCGGGAAGCATTTCAAATATTAAGATACAGGAATTAGCTGTAGCCGAGTTCGGTAGAGGTTTAGGATGGTGGTCAGGAAATCGCAGAGCGTGCTAATGGCACATAAACGGGCCAGACTCGGATGCTAAGAGCAATAATGAAAAAGATGAAAACAAAAAGAGATATGAAAGTTTTTCCTGGATTTTATCTAATTAATTTGGGTCAATAAGCGTTAAGGTGAAGGACATTAATATAGGAAAAGTAGTAATATTATTATTAAGGTAACAATGTTACTACTTTTTCTTTGCAGCATTCGTGTGGCCTCAAATCTCTTTTAGCTAGCAGTTGCTAAGCTAAGTTAATGGGTTCAAACCAGTAGTTAACAATATTAGCATAGTTGGGTTGATCATTCTGAGCTTTGTTCTTCGATTCCTCAACGTCACAGAGAAGTACAACTTCCTGGGCATCAGCATCGTGGGTCAGAGCAACGAGCGAGGTGATGGGGGGATCTACATCGGCTCCATCATGAAGGGAGGAGCGGTGGCTGCAGATGGTCGAATCGAACCTGGTGACATGCTGCTGCAGGTGAGGAGGAGCGACGTCCTAGCACCACAACAGCTGCTCCCGTCTTTGCTGTGGGATTCATGTTTGATTAAGTTCTTAAAACATTTTCCTGCGAAGGTGAACGACATCAACTTTGAGAACATGAGCAACGACGACGCGGTGCGAGTTCTCAGAGAGATCGTACACAAACCAGGGTGAGCCGCCGTTCGGTTTAGCGGTCAGAAACGTGGCTCTGTTCCTCCTGAGTTGATCAGAGATGATTTGTTTTACAGACCGATCATACTGACAGTGGCGAAGTGTTGGGATCCAGCTCCTCAGGGATACTTCACTCTGCCTCGCAGTAAGGACCGCCTCTTCCATCCTAGCGGCGTCCATCAGAGTACGTTCTCTGCAAACTTAACGTCTTGTTTTCTGTCCATGTAGACGAACCAATTCGACCAATTGACCCCGCGGCGTGGGTCAGTCACTCTGTAGCCATGACGGGAGCGTACCCCCCCTACCCTGGCAGCTCCTCGCTCAGCACCATCACCTCCTCCTCCTCTGTCACCGAAACTCAGCGTGAGTCTTTTCCTAAACTCTGATTTTTACAAAACTGGATTCTCTGATATTTAAACCCTGTTGTCATTCCTGAGCAGCCTGTGTTTGTTAGGGCTGTAGCGAAGCTTCGATGACGTCGACGGCTCGATTCTAAAAATTCGTCGACGTCAGATCCGGTAGTCGACGCACCGCGCCCACTTGTTGCATCCCCAGGAGTTTGTAAACAGAGGTGGAATCTGCCTGTTTTCCCTCTAGTTCGCCCTCTTCTCCGCCTTCACTAACATCTCAGCCAAATACCGAAGACCCGGAACAAAGTCCATCCGCTACTAGGTTCCTTTCCTGTTTTGCCCGCCTTCGTTTCCGGGCAACGGACAACAACTTCCGGGGTCAAATGCGCTGCTCCGTCTCTATAGCAGATGTAGAAAATCACCGGGAGCGTTTCTCCCTTCATAAAGGAGCTTCTTTCAGACATTAGGAGAGCTGTTTTGGTGGTAGCAGTCTCTCCTCCGAGCTGGTCTGTTTGCTGCTGGGTGTTTTTGGTTTATTTAAACTTGGCAACTTAACGTTGGTAAAGCTACTGTTAGCATTTTCGCTAACAGCTTCTTGCGTTTGGATAAGCTGTTACGTTTTGGTTTAGAGTTCATCTTTTTACAATCCAATCAGATCCAATTTTATTTATAAAGCGCATTCACAAGGCATTACAACCAAACAAGGCGCTGTACACTAGAAATGTTGGTTAATTAAACAAGCGATATTTAAACATGTTGAACACATATAAAAAATAATAATTTGTGGTACAAATTAATAAATGTCTAAATGTAATAAAATCTCCCTTTTGTTACATTTAGAGTGTTTTGGGTTTTCGGTTTAGTTTAAAATATCACCTTGAGGTTGGTTTAACCGCCCAGTTTAGAGTTTGGAACTTTGGAGATTCTTATTTTGGTCCAAAACCCTGTAATCTTTGCACAGTGGGACATCCCTAGTTATCTGTACTTTTGTTTTAATTCCCCACAGGCAGAATTAGTTTTATTACTCCCAACCTGTGGATGGAAAGATTTGGTTTATTGTAGTTGTAAATAAACCCGATCATCATTTTAACTTTTAAATCCCATATTATTGTCCTTTCCTTTTTGTACACGAGCCAAACTCCCCAGGAAGAGTCGTAACACCACTCGCCTCACGCACATAAGTGACCAAGACGAAGCAGCATGGAGACTCTCCGTCTCCAACCACCTCTCAGGCAGCAGCCTGTACTCCCAAGTTCTACACGTCACCAGAACATAACCAACCAACACAATAAAAGCAGTGTTATACAAAATGGGAGGCCTGTAGTGTTTATTCTCTTACAGTAACAATTAATCAATTTTTTGGAGGAATTTATTAGAGATTTTTTGGTTTTTATTAACTGTGCAATAGAAAAATAATCATTAGATTAATTGTATAAATAGTCATTAGAATAGTCGACTGTTCGATAAAATAATCGTCAGAATAATCGTTTTAAAAATAATCGTTTACCCCCAGCCCTAGTGTTTGTAGAAATCATTTATTCTCTAAAGCAGGGGTGTCAAACTCAAACTCACACTGGGCCTGACATGAAACTCTGGGACGGAGTCGCGGGCCGAACTTAATATTTTTGAAAAAGTGACAGCAAATTTGCACTTTTTCTTTATCAGCATAAATGCAATTCTGAATCTTTTAATTAGGAAACAAACATATTTCTGCATTAACACTGAATGTGGAATAACCAAATTACACACGAGCAAGTCAGTTTTAAATAGAAGGCATCAGTGGTATTCATTACTTGTGGTATAATCAGCATTTTTATAATCTATTCAGGATTTATGTTTTCTTGTTTCTTCATTTTTCTTATTTTTTATTCTCCTTTTTTCTCCTGTAATAAGTGTCATCGCTGCTGTGACGTCTAGCTTTCCCCACTGAGGAACAATAAAGGGATTTTCTATTCTATTCATCTATCTGCAGCCTTTCCACTTCCTGTTTACTGTAGGTTAAATCTTTTCTCACGGGCCAACAACAAAATAAAAATATCATTTTATCTTAAATGAAAATGCAACATCTCACCTGTTAACTTTCATGTTTTGGAGCAGAAAAAGAGCATAAAACCAACATATTTAAAGCTCAGTTTGCTCCACTGGTTTACTGTGATGCTCACCTGTTCCAGCCAGATACCTGCATCATGGGGTTGATCTGAGCTGAGGAGGAGACTCCTGTTGTTTTGTTCATCTTCATCATAATAATGACAACATTAGATGACAACAGGTGCTCACATAGGTTTGTGCTGCTGAACATGTCTGAGCAGCTTGACCACGTTGTTGTGTGTCAGGGAGGAAACACAACCACAGAGTCATGCTGGTTTGAGCGTGTTGCTGGAGTTATATCAGCTCTGTCTGGGCGTTAGTTGGAAAACTTTCTCTTTCAGTCGTGAACACATTACTGAGCAGCTAGAATCTCCGTTTCTGGGCTTCAACGTCAGAAAATAGCTGAGTGAACTCGGCGCTGAGTGAGAGGAGTGTTTAGTTTGTCTGAGACAGCGGAGCTGCAGACACCGGCAGCAGGCGCTGGAAAAAACACAAAGGAGGGGGCGCTTCGGCGCCGTTCTAATGGCGCAAATCATCATGGGAGTTGTAGTCTTTGCTGTAAAATTGGCCAGCGGGTCAGTTTTAATATATTTTTTATATTTATCTCGCGGGCCACATAAAAATGCTCGGCCTTGTGTCTGACACATGTGCTCTACAGGACTGATAAGCTAACAGCTAGTTTAAACATAGCCCAGATCAAAGTATATTAATTCAGTTATTTTTTAAGGAGCATTATCCAAACGTGTTCATCAAATCTGACCCTTTGGTTAAAATAGAAGTGCTACTTTTTCTATTGTTCATACCTGCAAACTTGGAAGGTGTGAAAAAGGGGACAGTTATAATTAACCCCACAACGAGCCTCGAGGAAACACCTGTAGGCCTAAAGGCTGGAAGGAGACAAACCTAAAGTCCTTTACAGAAAATCGTGTTATTTAACTTTAAAGGTCTGTTTGACTGAAAAAAACACTTTTTAATGTTTTTCTGATTATATTCGGTCACTCGATGATAGTCTCCTACAGCATCTGATAGAAAATAGAGGGTGAAACTCTAGGATTAGAAAATCCTGACAGATCTACGTCACACTGTCATTTAACATTCACGGACTCGCCCATCTTGACCCCCGACGAGGAAGGCTGTTGTTGTTTTAGCGTCCAGGAAACAGAGAATGCCTCAACTAGTAGAAGCTAACCATTAGCATTAGCAACCACAGCAGAAGCTCCTCCTGACTTATGTTATAAAACATCCACATTGCGAGTCAGTGGTAGAGTCACGTTGCTGTTATCTAATCCGAGATGAGATGTTGAAGTATCAGGAAACAAGACTCCAAAACCTGCCGTTTGAAGCTCATCTGTGATGTGGGTCACTTTGAGGTCTGAGAAATGGTGCACTGGTATTTTTTTCCCCCTGAGAACAACTTGCAAGGCATTCATTCCTACTAGAGACCACTGCAAATGTATCGATTTAACAAGTGAACGACTCCTTTAAGCTCCAACCGCTGAGAAATGTTGAAACAACAGTGGTCATACACGTCGTGAGCGGTGGTCCCACAGTGTGTAAGCAGTTCTTGGCTTGGCATGCCGTCTCTGTGACTGTGATTGGTCAAATGATGAGGCATGTATACACTAGGGGTTGTATCAACTGGTCGACTTCTCTGCTCTGTAGTGACTTTTTATGCCTGTCCTAGACTAGTCGCTTCCACGTGATAATAGGGGTTGCATGACTTAATTTTTTTTAATGTCGACAGTCAAGTAATGAAAATCGAGTCGACTTCGACTAGTCGTTGATGACGTCATACACCTGAAGCAGGGGGGGGGGGGTCAGTAGGTTCGCTGGAGTTTTTGACAATTAAAATTGCGCCCACATTTTCTAAGTTAAACACATCTCTTATAACAATAGTTGTTTCTGCATCCTACTTCAGCCCTCTCCCCCCTCCCCCTGCGTCACGCTGTGCCACAGCGTCTGTATCTGACACCGGCGGTAAAACGGACATTTAACCAAATTATGATGTTTACCCTCTTGCAATTTAACCTTCCCCTCACCCCCATCCTAACCTTAACCAGCTTGCGCGTGCAAAGCTCTGATTGTTGACGCGCTCCAGACATCTGCGTCCTGAGGACGGCCACAGTAACATTATCAAATCAGGTGTCGCCACCTCAAAAACTAATTTAACATGCGATCGTTCATGCCGGCTCATTTCCTTTTATGTTTTCTGTCTTTTATTCTTTTATTTGTGCCTTATGCGTTTCGTTGCTGTGGATCGGGGCGCACCACTTGTTTTGTCCTCGGTGACACACCACTGATACGGCCGACGAGCACTCCGCTGTTTTAGCGGTCGGTAGATCTTTTAGAACTGCAGTTCAAAGGTAACTCATGAGGTGAATATATATGAAGCCAGGTAGCAGTTTCTCTTTAGGATTGAGATGAGATGCAGGAATGATAATAAACAGACAGGACAGAAAAATAGTCAAATAAAAACAAGTTAGTTTTTGTACCTGCTGTTGCAACAAACAGACACCATTGAAGGTAATCAGAAGTGAGGAACAGAACATGAAATAATTATTTTAATGTTTAGAGCAGCAGGAACTCCGAGAGGCTGCAGGCGCATCAGTGAGTTTGCGGCCGCTGCGCAGGGGGAGGGGGGAGAGGGCTGAAGCAGGATGCAGAAACTACCATTGTTGGAAGAAATGTGTTTAACTTAGAAAATGCGGGCGCAATTCTAATTGTCAAAACCTCCAGCGAACCAACCCGCTTCAGGTGTATGACGTCATCAACGACTAGTCAAATTCGACTCGATTTTCATTACTTGACTGTCGACTTTAAACAAAATGAAGTCATGCAGCCCCTAGTGTACAATCCAAGTGAACACCATGTTTGGCTTCAAAGACTGATTTTCGCTGGAAAGCAGACAGTTTGCAGGTATGATTGTTAGCTCATTACTCTTGAGCAGAGGCCATTCAGGAAGCTATCTACAGTGGCTTTGTTACAGAAACACATTTCAGAAAGGCAAAAAGGAGCTTAGGCTTTGTCTCTTAACATAATCCACTCAGGAATCACCTCTGCTCACGTGCTTTTCACCCTGATGAGATTTAATCTGACTCATTTCATTTAGCCTTACACCCTAACCCTTACTCTGGAGTTGGAGTCCTGAATGCTCACGTGTTTTTCTTTCTGGCAGGTTTCGATGACTTTAACTTATCTCTACACTCCGACATGGCGTCAGTGGCCAAAGCCATGGCTTCACCAGAGTCTGGTCTGGAGGTCCGTGACCGCATGTGGCTGAAAATCACCATCCCCAACGCTTTTCTGGGTGAGACCAGATCTCGACGGTTCCCTGAACTCTCTGTAGCCCCCGGGGCGTTCCTGGGCCATGTTCTGTTCGGAGAATCAAAACCGTGTGACTGGTGGGAGGGGAAATCCCATCGTGAAGGCTTGTTTTTGAATGAGAACACGTGTCAAATTGGAGTCACCTGCAACAGATTCAGAAACAGGATTACATAAGTCGCATGTTTGTGCTCTTTAATTATTCAGCATGGTTTTTTAAATCTGATAGTTTCTCTTTTAAATTAAGTTCTTATAACTCTTTACAAACAATCTCTGCTGATGAAAAAGGTTTGGGATTTGTTTTATATTTAATCTGTTTTCACTCAGATTGCTCATTTTGGCTCACAGCTGGATATTCTGTTTGTCGCCAGTGCTGGAACTAAATCCCGACTCCTCTTCCCTCTTTGCATCTACCAGGCTCAGATGTGGTGGAGTGGCTGTTTCACCACATCGAGGGGTTCCAGGACCGCCGAGAGGCCAGGAAGTACGCCAGTAACCTTCTGAAGGCTGGCTTCATTCGACACACGGTCAACAAGATCACCTTCTCGGAGCAGTGCTACTACGTGTTCGGAGATCTGAGCGACTGTGAGAACTGTGAGTCAGCAGAACCCAGTTTAAGAACACACTAGTGCCACCTAGTGAACATATGGCTGGACTCCAGATCCATAATACATGTTAGAAATAACGATTTTTGGGTGTAAATTTAAGATTACAGCCTTTTTTTGTTCTGTACTCATCCCCCAGACATGGCCAATCTATCCCTGAATGACAACGACGGTTCCAGCGGGGCTTCGGACCAGGACACATTGGCTCCCCTGCCGCTTCCCGGCGCCTCCCCCTGGCCCATGATGCACACCTTCCCCTATCAGCCCTACCCCACCCATCCGTACTCCACCCAGCCTCCTCCGTACCACGAGCTCACCAGCTACAGCTACGCCCCCGGCAGCACGGGAAGCCAGCACAGCGAAGGTCAGACACATCGCTACGTTACTAAACATAAAGGTCTGATTGTAGTGTTTGTCCTGGTCTCGGTCTCTGGCTCCTTACTTTTTGCTTGCTCGTCCCTTTTTCGGGCGTTTAGCCTCATGTGGTTGCAGTATAAACCTAAACTGTCATCAGGAAGTCATGTTTTTTTCTTTTTCATAACAACCTCTACCCGGTGTGAACTAGCCAAACGCCGCCCCCTTTGTTCTGGCGTTTTCCTTCATGTGTTCTTTGAGAACGATCCAGCAGCAGATCATCTCCCCACTGTGACACTCGTTATTCACACATTCTGCTGAATGTCTCAGGTGTCTTCATCGTTTCTCTTTGTGTGTTCTGCTCCTAGGGAGCCGGAGCAGCGGCTCAACGAGAAGCGAGGGCGAGCGACGACGCGGCACCAAAGGCCCTGGCAGCACAGTGGGGGGAGGGGAGAAGTCCCCCTCCGGCGGGGTTGGAGATGGAGGCGGGGCCGACTCCCGCTCTGGGAGCGGAAGTGAATCGGAGTACTCCACCCGCAGCAGCCTGAGACAAGGCCACGGCTCATCCGCCCCCAGTGAGCACAGTCACGCCTCTTCTCAGCGCTCACATCATCACCGCATGCCGCAGCCCCCCCACATGTCCCCCTACCCGCCGGGCATCCTGCCATACAACCCCATGATGGTGATGATGGTGCCCCAGCACCCGCACCCGGCCATGGCGACCGCACACGCACTCCAGCAGCTACCACCAGCCTCCATGCACCAAGCCCTGCCCCCTCCTCCCTCCTCCACCCCAGGCGGGCCACCCGGGGCCCCGCCCACTCGTGACCTGGGCTCGGTTCCTCCAGAGCTAACTGCGTCCCGCCAGTCGTTCCACCTTGCGATGGGCAACCCCAGCGAGTTCTTTGTGGATGTCATGTAGTCCGGTTCCTGCTGGTTCTGATGAGGATCTGCTCCTAAACTAATCGGATTCAGGGCACCTGTTAGAGATTAGGTGACAACAGGGTTTAAAACAAAACGAAAAATAAATTTAAATGTCTAAAAACTACTTTCTTATCCACAGAATCACCAGCCTGTTAATCTCGCTGTCGTGTCTCAGTATCGTTTTTACCAGTTCTGAGGACACCCAAGTGCCTGCTTCTTACAATCCTAGATTAGAATTAGTTAATCTGATCTCAGACGGCCTCCAGCAAAACTCACTGACCACCGATGAACACTAGAGGGCGCCATAGACACCATCAGTTTGGAGCGGCTAGAATCCTGCATGTACAGTTGCTGAAAGCCCACATTGTTTGCTCGCATACACGAGTGGGTTGAGTGCCTTTACGCTTAGTTTTTTAGATGTTTTCAACACTCCAGGTACACGAGAAACGCAAACGCTGTCCCACTTTGTCTGACAATAAACTTCCTCTGTGTATAAAGAGCCTAACTCTAATGTGAAAAGACAAAACGGTCCAATGATGTTCAGATATCACTGCCTGTGTTTAGTCATTCAGTAGGGCTCCTGTTCTGAAGGGTACCACGAGCTTTCTGAATGTGACTAAAGGTTTGATGGTAGTTCATCTGGGGAAAAGACTGATAGCGGTACTTAGTGATGACATCATTACTGTGAGCCACACGCCTCCACTCCCAGTGCTCATGCAATGTTACAGACTCGCATTATTCACCAGTTTCTTGTTTTGTTTTTGTACGAGTGAAGATTGAAATCATGTATAACCCAACTATAAAGGTGCTAAATGAAGAGTCAGCGTTTCAGAAAGACCTTCTCAATGTCACTTCATTTGATTTCATGTTGCCACCTTTGTGTATTTGAGAATAAATTTGATACTAGCTCACAGTTTAGATTGGATTATTTTAACTTCCCATTGGAGAGAAGTCTCACAAAAGTCAACAGACACAGGGAATGCTGCATTATTTAGTTCGACACGTGAGAGAGAGCAAGGGTTGGTTTGATCATACACAAATGACACCGTAAAAGTGTAAGCATTGGGAGTTTCAGAGAATTTGACATTTTATTGATTTTATCAATACTAACTTGTTTATCTTCACTTCTGAATACATGGGATTATTCATAGGATTTGAGTCTGCATCACAAGTCTTCAGAAGGTGAGTCCAATTCAAATCTTGAGTCTTAAAAGGATGGGTATAAGATGAGTCACAAAAATCTGGCGTGCAAGTCAAGTTTCACATCTTTAGAGATTGAATCCATTTCAAGTCACAAGTCTTTATAGGGCAAGTCCAGGTTAAGTCGAGCCTTTAGAATGTGGGTCAATTTGCAGTTCTTTATAGGCTGAGTCAGGTCAAGTCTTTAGAGGACAGGTCCGGGTCAGGTGACAAGTCTCTAGAGGGTGGGTCCAGGTCAAGTCAAGTCTTTAGAGGGTGAGTCTAGGTCAGGTCAAGTCTTTAGAAAGTGTGTCCGAGTCAGGTCTCAAGTCTTTAGAGGGTGTGTTTGGGTCATGTCACAAGTCTTTAGAGATTGAGCCTGGCTGACACAGAACCAAAGTGTTAGTAATTTATTTAATAAATTTCTGTTTTCAATTCTAAATCATCAATATTTCATTATCAATATATTATTTAAAATATTTGATGGAAAAGACTATTTCCGTTTGTTAAAACCAGTATGCGAGTGTGGAAAGCCCACCAGGACTACAGAGTTTACCACTATTACACTAGAAGGCAGCAGGGGGCGCTAACGTGATAATGAAGCGGACGCTTAGCGGCTTTGAGCCCGAAGAAGAAGAAGAGGCGAGGCGACGCGACTAACAGCATCGTTTCTCTGGCGGCGTTTGTGACGGTGTAACTACTTAGGGAAACTTTTTACCGTTTATTAACTTCAGGTCTGTCTATTAAATGTTTATGTTCAGTAAGTCAAACAAAGCGTTTAAACGTTTCAAGCGCCTGTTTTTGCCTTCACCGAGCAGCAAAACCGGCGAAGTTCAGAAACAAACGAGCGTCTTTCCTTTCATGCTAACACCCTGCTACGTTTAAACTGATCTCTGTGCAACTTGTTTAGATAACTATCTTGTGTGTTTTCCTCCCAGAACAAAAAAAATGCTGCTTCGTAAGGTGAGCCAGTCCTCCGCACTATGCGGCATCATTCTGAGGATTCCTCCCGTTCTCTCGGGGCAAGTAGCTAATGTTTATGTATTGAACAGCCTTAGCTTTTTGGCTAAAAAAGCGTTTCTGACTGAATTTTGTTTCCTTTTTGGGATTAAAGGAGTCCGCGTCAGGCCGGGGTTGTTGTCGCTGTCTCAAACGCTCGCCTATACGCCAGTCAAGCTGCTCAGGTACAGTTGTATTAAACTCCTACGTACTTGTTACTCGTTAATATTTTTTTGTTTTTATCAATTGTGTTGAGCTAAATGCAGCGCGTGAGTGACATAACGCGGACCCCCTCCTCTTCCACGTAAGTAGAGTAAAGTTCACTGGTCACGTGATTCCTCATTAAAGGTGACACCACAGATCTCCAGGCAAATGTTCCCATCAGACGGTGCTGAAGATGCAGTACGTATGTGTGTGTGTGTGTGTATATATATATATATATATATATATATATATATAGTTTATTTCTGACTGAATAGTTTATTTATATAGCACATTTAAAACGCAGCATGGGAGCTGCCCAAAGTGCAACAGAGAATAAAAATACCAATCAAAAGCAGATAAAACACGAGGAATACTAAGAACACGTTAAAACAATAACATAATAAAACACTAAAACGAGTCACTGTCTAAAAGCCACGTTGTAGAAGTAGGTCTTTAAACGAGATTTAAAACCTGCCAAACTGTAATGGGTAGAGAGTTCCACAGCTTTGGGGCAGCATGCACAAATGCTCGTTCATCCCGTGAGTCGTATCACTTCCGGGGAGTGCAAAGCAGCAGAAGGTCAGCCGACCTCAACGTGTGCGTGGGTACATAGGGAGTGAGCAGGTCAGAGAGATAGGGAGGTGCCAGGTCGTTGAGTGCTTTAAATACAAAAGTCAATAACTTAAACTGTACTCTGAAAATGACAGGGAGCCAATGAAGATGCGCTAGGACAGGAGTAATATGGCTATGTTGGTGCGTTTTTGTCAAGAACCTGGAAGACCAGCAGCCGATTCACGGCAGAGACCGGAACACCAGCTAGGAGGACGTTTGCGTAGTCCAGGCGAGAGGTAATGAAGGCACGGATGACTGCCTCTATTTCAAGCTTCGTCTGAGGCGGGTCAGGCGGCGAAGCTGATAAAAGCAAGACCTCACAACAGAGTTTCTGTGGGGCCATTGAGAGTTCAGCATCCAGTTTACCCCGAGACTTGTCACGCACTGTTTGGGTTTGAAGGTTAAAAGGTCACAAACGGGGTGAGAACCATGGTGGTTGCGGGGGTCATATATTACGCATGGCTTTGTGCTTGTTTATCTGGAAATATTTGCTTTAAAATAAAAAAATCGGAATCATTTCACAACACCGCTGTTATCAAATAAATCTGAATTTGTGCAATTTAAGTTTTGAAAGTAACGGTAACTAAAGTAGTTAGTAGCACAGGGACATTATGACATAATATAGAATGATCAAAACAATGATTTATCTAAATTTTGATGAATCATTGTTTTGATCATTTATCTACACTAAAAATAACGTCTGTGGTAAAGCGGCTCATTTCCTGGGATTTTTCTGACATTTCTATTCACCCTTATGTGGATTTTATTTAAAGAATCATATAAAAGTCATCATTTAAAATGAAATAAAATTTAGGGCACATTAAGTTTTATTCCTACAACCATGTTTTCATTTGTACTCTTCCTGTGTGTGAACCATGTAGGAAAAATCGTCATACCTGCTTGAAACGGGTTTGAATTTAATTTAAACCCAAAGGAAAAATTCACGGCCAAATTATATTTAGGAAAAAGTTCACGCTGAAGTGTGTTTGGTTTCACTCAGTTTATTTGTAAAGGTTATGAATAATAAAAATACAGTTTTAACAGCCTGGGTGAACTAATTGAGTTGAGCTCTGTGTCTGTTCTAAGTTTGAATCTGTTTATATATATATATATATATCTCACACATTAAAGTTCTTACTGGTCAGCTGTTGCGTTTGTCTCGTTTCGTGTATGCATTAGATGTGTTTTTAGATTGAATTTGTGTGTTGTCTGATTTTCGGTTGAACCTCTTGGGTTTTGTTTGCCTTTAGGCCGTGTTGGAGAAGCCTGCGGCGGTGGGAAGTGATGCTGCTACTAAAGTGGAAAAGAAGGCAGCTGCTGCTGCGGTCTGTTGTTTTATCTTTCTGGTTTGAAGCAGCAGATTCAACAATGAATGCATGAAAGATGAATTTTTCTTCCACAGGAATCCAAATCATTTGCTGTCAACATGTTTAAGGGTCAGATTGCAACAGCCCAAGTGTTTCCCTTTCCTAAGGGTAATCCACAGATTCACTGCCCCTCTTACAAACATGACTAACATCTGAAATCTGTTTGGCTCTGAGCTCTGTTTGTGTTTCAGCCCTGAACGACGAGCAGGAGCAGTTCCTTCGGGAGTTGGTGGGGCCGGTCAGCAAGTTCTTTGAGGTGATCTTAAACCTCTCTGACTAAAGTAAAACAGATCCAAACATCAACAACTTCCTAACATGAATCTACTCCTTGCTTCCAGGAGGTAAACGACCCTGCCAAGAACGATAGTCTGGAGAAGGTGGAGGACCACACCATGGAGGGCCTGAAGGAGATGGGGGCATTTGGCCTGCAGGTCCCAGCTGATCTGGGTGGACTTGGTCTCTCAAACACTCAGGTACAGCTGACTGGTCTGATCATGTCTACACACCAGGGGGTCTCATTTATCAAACATGGCGTAGAATCATTACTAAAACCGTACTTAAGCTCAGCAAATAAAAGTACTTATGCCAAGTAGGTTTGTGATCTATCAAACATGGAGTACGCACAGCTGCACGCAGTCTCAGCTTCATGAATCAGAGACTATCTAGAAAGGTTCTCAGCTGCTTTTTAGTCACATCCCGCCCTCACCACGCCCACTTACTGCCATAAATAGTCAAGTCAATGCAAAGTGCCTTGTGGATCTCATGCATATACATAAGCCGGCTGTTGCAGCGCTCCGCCAATGACGATGGTGACCGTAGATCAAGGCAGACCAAGGAAGCGCTATTACACAGAAGCAGAAGTTGAGGTACTTGTGGGTGAGGTGGAGAAATGAAAGGAAGTGCTTTTGCAAAACAAATAAGAGAAAATCCACAGAGTGGCACAGCGTTGCTGAAGCCGTCAATGTTGTGTTCTTCAGAGAGATCTGTGGCGGATATAAAACAATGGTCCAATCGGGATTCGATCCCAAGACTCCCAGGTGAAAGTCACGTGCGCTAAACAGTCACCCAAACGGAGATCTCCCTTGTCCAAGTAGCCAGGGCGCATGATCAATCGGGTCACAGTGACAGGACACACACACTGTCACAGACGCATGATGTTCTGTCTCAATCTGTCCCCCTGCTGATATCTGCATTCCATATTCTGCGCTTCAGGCTGTGTGTGTGTGTGTGTGCGCACACGTGTGTGTGTGTGTGCGCGCGCACACGTGCATATGAGTGTGTGTGTGCGTGCGTGTGGGATCTTGTTCTGTGTGAGCACGAAGCGGTACAAGTGATAAAGCTGCAGGATTTCATAATTGTATCTTCTCAGCAGCAGCACTGCAGGAGCTCTCCATGTCCAACATGTGCGTAAGCCAGGTCCTTAGTCAACTTAAAGTTTCTTTCATAAATCCCAAAGTTTGCGTGGAAAGTTGCTTACGCAGTTTTCCGACCCCGTTTTGTGCGTAAGCAAGCTTGATAAATGAGGCCCCAGGAGATTAAAGCAAATCTGTCAGCCACACATATCTCTTCTTCCTCCAGTACGCTCGCCTGGTTGAGATTGTCGGAGCTCATGATTTAGGTGTTGGGATCACTTTAGGAGCTCACCAGTCAATCGGCTTCAAGGGCATTTTGCTGTTTGGGAACAAAGCTCAGAAGGAGAAGTACCTGCCCAAACTGGCCTCAGGTAAGAACAACTACGTCTTTGTCCTGATCTGGACGCTCACGTCACACGTGGCATCATATGAACACAACTGGTCGGAAGTCCTCTAATAACAACACACCAGTTTTATGTAGCGCTTTTCACAACCACTCTAAGATACTTTACAAAGAAGGGACCGAAGTGGTAAACCAAAATAACATTACTGGGTTAAATGCTTGATTAAAGAGGCTCATTTTTTTACCGCTTTTTTAATTCCTGGAGTGAGTCTGAGGCACAGATACGTGGGGAGAGGATGCTCCCCTCCTTCTACACCATGAATGGCATAGGGTGGGGGTGGCTGCGGCAGAAGCTGCCCCCAATGGTGCGATGCTTTGAATCGGTGGTCTGGTAGAGGAGGTTGGAGGTGGCGGGAGGGGTGACGGTGTCACTGAAGGTCAGAGAGGTGAGGAGGGGCAAGGTTATTGAGATCTTGAGTTGGATGCACTATGAAGCTTTTGTAGGACAGGAGTTATGTGATCTCTGGTGTTGGTATGTGTGAGTAGCTGGGCAGCTGAGTTCTGAACGTATTGCTGTTTTTTAGATGGGGGCTATTGTAGTAGTCCATTCTGTTGGGGCTGAAGGTGCAGAAATGGAAAGGGTAAGATGCTGAAGGGCATTTCCAAGGAGTTTAAAAATGGCCGGTTTAGTGACATGATGGATGTGTGGACGGAGAGAGGGTGGGGCCTAAAAGGACTCCCAAGGTTTCTGATGGAACGACCATCGGTACAGAGTGTTAATAAGGTATGGTAAGGTTAGAGGCAGGGCTGTATGGTAACGTTTTTAGCTCATAGCGCTGGTGCTACAAAGGTTGTAGGTTTTGCAGCACCAGCATAACAATTCTGTGGCAATCTCTAAAAACCAAAAGTAGTTCTTATAAACACGCAGACACACCAGCAGGGCCTATAATGACAACAAGTGACAGGGTGGAAAAACTTCAAGTGTTTTATACGAGCCAGTTTACCGCAGGTCGTACTTGATGAAACATTCTGAACTTTACTGTTCGTTTTAATTCTATGAACAACAACATCACCTCAATTTAGGAAAAAACACGTTTAAAAAAAAAAAGCTGCACGACCAGTGTGTTTGTTTCCGACCACAACCAAAGTCTGGGAGCTGAAGAAGTCTCTGAGATGAGAAGCTAAATGTCTCCAACGTATCCAGAAAGGTCCAGCTGTTTTCAGCTAAAACTCTCAGGATCATGTCCAGGACGACCGAGTCTACGCCTCCATGTTGCAGCAGCGACTCGGTCCGAAGGGAAACTGAAACGCTGCTGTCAGTAACAACCTAACGGATTTAAAACAGGAAAACTCTCAACAGGCTTTGCATCTGTGGTGACCTGCTCTGACATTTACATCCTTCTTGCTGCTAAAGTAATCTTTTGGAATAAAGATTTAAAATAAATTATCAATGGTAATTTTTTATATATTTTAGCAAAATATAAAAAATGTAAAATATTTACCGGTCGATCTACGTCCCAATCCTCACCTATGGTCATGAGCTTTGGGTAATGACCGAAAGAACGAGATCGCGCAAACAAGCGGCCGAAATGAGTTTCCTCCGTAGGGTGGCCGGGCTCAGCCTTAGAGATAGGGTGAGGAGCTCGGACATTCGGGAGGGACTCGGAGTAGAACCGCTGCTCCTCCGGATCGAAAGGAGTCAGTTGAGGTGGTTTGGGCATCTGGTCAGGATGCCTCCTGGACGCCTCCCCGGGGAGGTGTTTTGGGCATGTCCTGCCGGCAGAAGGCCCCCGGGTCGACCCAGGACACGTTGGAGAGGTTACATCTCCAATCTGGTCCGGGAACGCCTTGGGGTCCTGCCGGAGGAGCTGGTGGAGGTGGCCGGGGAGAGGACGGTCTGGAGCTCCCTAATTGGGATGCTGCCCCCGCGACCCGGACCCGGATAAGCGGAGGAAGACGACGATGATTTTTGCTAAATAGAAAAAAAAGTATACCAGGTTTAGACAGTTCCTCTGCTCAGAAAGCCTGACAAAAATGAGGAAATGATTAGGGATCATCAATGTTCATTAAACATTATGATGAGAGTAAGTCACAGAACACCAAACATGAAAAGATCTGAAAATATTCCAGAATACTGCAATAATCCTTATTGGTGCCGTCTCATGAGTGCTGCTGATTCAGTGTTTAGAAAGAGCTGCAGCTTTATCTCAGCTGTTTGACTGAATACTTTAATAAACCTTTGCTAAAGGTAAAATGTTGATCGGACTCTTTAATGCAGCAGAAATGTCACAATTTTATGAAATGATCTCATCACGTTTCTCCTCCAGCGTCCTCAAGTCTTCCGGTGTCCAGATCCATCTGCTGGGGTTTGTTTTAAATGAGTCAGGCTGTAGCACACTGGTGGCCATTTTTAAAATATAAAATAAGTATTCCTGTTATTAGGTTTTAACAAACTCAGCACCAAAAAAAGAGCCGCCTCGGAGGAAAATCTGACGGCTGAAGGGAGGTAAATCTGTCCTTCACAGAAAACCGTGTGATTTGGTGGTGATTTGTGTGATCTGGCAAATGTTTAGGCTAGCTCAGAACTACTGCGAGATGTTGAAACTCATCATGCTCCCAGTGAGCGCCGCTCTGCTCCATCTCTGCAGCGTGTGACTAGCTGGTGAAATGACAACACGCGACAGACACGCTAGAACAAAGATAGATTGTGAACAAGAGGATGGTCCCCTCCTTTTTCTGATTGATTGTCATAAAGAGTGGTCGAAACCCGACGGGAGAACCTCATCCCATCACAACAAAAAGTCTGCTCTATGCCATTCACAGGAACGCCACGTGTAGCGTCAAAAACAAGTTTGCAGGTGTGGTTGGTTCCATAAAGTTCTGGGGGGCGTGACTTGAACAGACATTGGAGATTTTGTGAAGCTGACCTATTAGGTGGTATATTAGAGTGTTTGCAGCTGCTTCAGGTTTAGAGTGTGTTGTCATGGTGATAGACTCAAAGGTTTCCCTCTGCTCCACGTGTGTCCATCCAGGCGAACATATCGCCGCTTTCTGTCTGACGGAACCAGCCAGCGGTTCTGACGCCGCCTCCATTAAAACCACAGCCGTCCTGTCTCCCTGTGGGAAGTTCTACACCATGAATGGCAGCAAGATCTGGATCAGGTGAGACATCACCTGGCCTTCACCACCAGAGGGCAGCACTGGATAACGGATGCTTTGGTTTTACATGTCCTCTACAGCAATGGAGGTATCGCTGAGATCTTCACCGTGTTCGCCAAGACGCCAATGAAGGACCCAAAGACCGGGGAGACCACAGACAAGATCACAGCTTTTATTGTGGAGAGGAGCTTTGGAGGAGTGACCAGGTGAGCACGCTTGTTTGTTCTGAGTGCTTGCGTTTGATTCCTCCTGGTTTACGTTATGTTTTTATCCCAGTGGCCCACCCGAGAAGAAAATGGGCATCAAGGCGTCCAACACAGCCGAGGTTTACTTTGACGATGTCCGCGTGCCAGCTGACTGTGTCCTGGGTGAGGTAGGAGGCGGGTTCAAGGTGGCCATGAACATCCTTAACAACGGGCGCTTCGGCATGGCGGCAGCCCTCTCCGGCACCATGAAGAGCGTCATCATCAAAGCTGTGAGTGTGACCTGAGAGGGAAGTGGGCAGGAGTGCAGCAGCAGAGATGATCATCTTCCTATAAGTGCTGCCGGGGTTCCTATCTGCTTGTTCGAGGCGCTCCGACTCTGCTGCAGCGCTCGTTGCAGTCGTGCGTTTCCTTTGCTGTGGGCTGATGGGAAGTTCCCCTGCCCGAACCTCTCTGTGGCCTGTTTTCTGCCGAAGTAGCAGGCACTTGAGATTCAAACGGGCCCCATGGCGGGCCCGGTTTCTTCAAGGGTTTGAGTTTCAACGGAAGAAAGTATTCAGGAAACCTCTCAGCTACGGGTTTGTAGGTGATGATGTACCTACGGTCGCACGCGAGTCAGAGCTTGCATCACCAAAAACAGGAAACATGTAAAAAGCTGCAGATTCTGTCTGTTTCAGCCGAGGAATCTTAAATTAACACTGTCTATTAAAAGTAATCATAAAAGTTTCATCATTCTTAATTTAGGAGTTTGTTTCCATTACAAATGATATCATCTTACAGGAACCTGCTCCACATGAAGCTTTGTTCTGGATGCAACTAACCAGTGTCTCTAATGTGAAACAGGTGCACGTTTTCACATGAAGCACCTGTTGTTGAGACAGAATGAGCTGCTTGAATAAAATAAATGTTTTTAGCTGCTTCTTGTGGCTTTTTGCATCAGTTCAGCAGCCTGTGGACCTCATGGCTCGGCGCTAACTCGCCCATCAGGAATGTTGTCGTAGCAGAAGCTTCTTCAATCTTCCTCTTTCTAAACACCACAAAAACCCACACAGAACTGCCGAGTCTGGCTTCGGTTTCAGCCTTTGAGGAAGTGCAGTAAACATTATTAAAACTCCGTTTGTACGTTTTTTTGTTGTTTTATCTCCGCTCTCTCTTTGGTTGATGAGTTTTAGTGGGAAAGAGCTAGCTGAAATGTTAGCTGGCTTCTCCGTTCTGATGGTTTTGTTGTTGCCAGTCAACAAAACTTACTGTTTTCCCAAGTCACAGATGTTGTTCTGCTGGAAAATTAGTGCTTAAAGATAATCGTGTAAATGTCCTGCAGGTAACGTGTCGACATCTGTAAACAGCTGCTATCTGCATACAGAACTCTGACCTCTCTGCTGATGTCCTTTGATGTTTTGTAGGCAACGTAGATGTTTAGGTGTGCATGAGCCGGTCTGTGTTTGCTGTTATTTTAATAAAAAGAAGAAAGCTACAGGTGCATCAAAGCCAAGTTTACCACAGAAACTTCACAGCCTGCAGAAACTGAAATTTACTGCAACTTGCAGCTTTAGTGTGATGCACCATATTTGACTCTACCTACAAAGATGTATTAGTGCTGCACCGACAGAAACGATTGTTGGTCCTCCTGAAGATCACACCTGAAGCTGAGGCGGTGCGTCAGAATTAGGGCTGGGCATCAAGAACAGGGACTAATTGTCAGTTTTTCCCGGAATGGTTCCATTTTTTTAAAAATTGGAAATCCTAGTTTCCATCCCCAGTCTGCCGACCAGAAGATGAAGCTGCCGAATACCAACAAAGAAGAATCTACCCAAAGTGTTTGCATTACCGAGCAATCATGGAAAATGTGCACAGGTGTTCATAAGTGTGGCTTCGTCCGCCGATCACAACCAGCCGACCTCCACGAAAAACACTCATCTGCAAATTTCGATCAACGCTTTTCATAGCTGATCACAGCGGCCAATCAGCTGTCGTTCTTACTTTGTAGCCCGCAGAGACCCTGTGTGCCCCCCCCCACCCCCACCCCCCACCCCATCAGACAGTAGAAGAGCCTAGCAGCAAAAGTGTAAACGGACATTTCTGCCAAACTTTTCCTCCGTTTGCGAGGGCGATACAAACTTCGCTTCCTGCAACAGAAAACACAGCATGGAGAAATCTCGTTAGAATGCGTCAACACAGCGGATTTAATATGAGTTTTAAAGAACAAACTCTAGGCGAAGTGAGGCGACCTGTCATGGCTCACAAAGACTGGGTTCCACCCACTAGAATCTATTATGGGTAATAAATAAATAAATACATCTATTGCTAATACAGTGATCCCTCGTTTATCGCGGTAGATGCGTTCCAGACCTGGCCGCGATAGGTGAAAATCTACGAAGTAGGGACACCATATTTACAGTATTTATTTAACAGGTACGTATTCAGACTTTTAAAACCCTCCCTTTACATAGTACTGTATTTTTACTTGTTTTTTATAGTTTTATTACAAAAAAATGCATTTTATGATGAAATTGAGGGAAAAAAATAGGAAGTTCTCTATTTATTTCGCATAGAAAAATAACGCAAATCGGCGAATTTCCCTTGAATAAGGCTCCAAAGAAAAAATCCGCAAAGTCGTGAATCCGCGATAAACGAACCACGAAGTAGCGAGGGATCACTGTAATAAATCTCACAACATGCAAAGTTGTGAGATTATTATTTTGTTTCTCTGCACCATTTAGACCAGGGGTCACCAGCCTGGCGCCCACGTGGCCGTTTCTCCAAAAAGTCTAAAATAAAATAAAAACAAGTTTGGCTGCCATCTTTTTTAATCACAAATGCTTTAATACAGACTTAAAAACTACAATTTCTTTAAAAAACACATTACATTTGTTTATTATATATTCAGTTTAATTTAACTCTGATCTATTCTGGTTGAAAGGTCAGTTTTGTATCATACTGGTAAACCATCATTTGGCCCAGTACCCATGAAGTGGCTCCCAGCTTCACGAAGGCTGGTGACCTCTGATGTAGGCTGCTTGCTACTGACAGCAGCTACGTGTACATTTCAGTTTTACTTCTGACTGAATCGTTGCTGCCGGCATCCTGGACACGATCATCCTGAGAGTTTTCATTGGAACCGGCTGGAATTTCCTGGCTATCTCGAAGACATGTTGCTTCATCTGCACATAACCAGCAATGGTTACGATGATTAGCTCTGTTTTCTATGAAGATCCATCCTGGAACATGGAGTTACTGTCTTGATAGTGATTGTCTGTTCTCCTCTTCCCTTCAGGTGGATCATGCAGCCAACAGAACCCAGTTTGGGAACAAGATCCACACCTACGGCGCCATCCAGGAAAAGATTGCTCGTATGACTATGCTGCAGTATGTCACAGAGGTCAGAGCGCCCTCCAGCTGTGTGATGCATATCTGATCCAAAGCTAAACAAATATCACAAACTTACAAAACCAAAAAACTGAAATCATTTGTGTTTTACAGTCGATGGCCTACATGATCAGTGGGAACATGGACAGTGGAGCTGCTGAGTTCCAGATAGAAGCAGCAATCAGCAAAATCTTTGCTTCTGTAAGAATAACAATCCAACACGAAGCTTCGTAAGCGTTTCTGCTTTTCTTGCTTGGTAGTAACCTGGAGCAGTTCTGAGCTTGAGCGATGGAGCAACTGTTGCACAATCCTCTTGTTTCCTTTTCTGTGTAAGACCAAAGAGGAAGGAAGTTCCCCAAGGCCTGCTGGTGACTTTTTAAAAACATTTCTCACCAGGAAGCAGCGTGGACCGTGGCTGATGAGAGCATCCAGGTCATGGGTGGCATGGGTTTCATGAAGGTGAGTTCTCCTTCCACTTCCTGTCACGTTCAAAACCAGACTCAAACTCACCGAGCTCCAGGAGATGAGGGCCACTTTCTCCATCCCTCAACAAACTCACCCATAACCCATCAGGGCTATGTGGTCGACAAATGTATAAACATTTAGCACGTTGATGATGCTACATCTGTAAATACCGTATTTTCCGGAGTATAAGTCGCACCAGCCATAAAATGTATAATGAAGAAGAGAAAAACATATATGTCGCATTTTGGGGAGAAGTTTTATTATTTTTCTTACAAAATCTGAGGTCAAGCGTTTCACATTGCAAGACAAGTACCGGTGTCGGTACAGGATCTGCTCGGGTGCAAGATCGGCTCGGGGTCCTTCGACTGCCGATGATGTCAAAGTACGGCAAACCCACTCGGACAAAATACACTATACATCTATACTGTTGGAAATAATTTAGCAGTTTCGTTATTAAAATAATGTTTCTTAAGACGTAAGTTTGTGTTTATAATGGTATTTGTAAAATAAAACACTATATTTTATTCATAATGTTGAACTCCTCTTTGAGCACATCCCTTGAAGGATCATAGGTATTAGCAACACCTGTGAAATTGTATTAGCAGGAAAGAAGTGTGTCCCGTTTATTGAAGTATTTTGTGTTTAGAGTTTTTGACGTCTTGTCCATGCGTAGTTCAGTTACGCTCATAGCTGCTAGCCAAAACTCTGGAGTTAAAAGTTTTCTGGCTTTACTAAAATACCTGTCTGTACTTATTTGATTGATGGTGGTTTTACTTTCTCTAGACTCCAAATGTAATCATTTGGCACGTTTCGAATTCATAATTTGTAATAATGTAATCGGCGATATTAGCATTAGCATTCCTATGGGTTTTTCCACGTATATTAGCATTGCGCTAACCACTCGCTGCCAAATTGCAGCCTTTGAGATTAGAAAATCTCCTTTTGTCACATTGCAATGTAATTGCACATGCAGTTAATCGTTCAGCCCTAATATACATGCAGCTCTATGCTAAAAGTGTATTTTCAAAGAGGTAATGATGGATTTCTTTGTAAAAGTTGTCCATCTTTCCAACAGAAAGATTTGCCTGGACCAACGTAATGTAATTCCGTAAGGTTCGTGTTCAGCCAATCAACTACTTAGACGTCATCGGCAGTCAAAGGACCCCGAGCCAATTTTGCACCCAAGCAGATCTTGTACCGACACCGGTAACAATAACAGAATAAACAACCAGGGCGCAGCAGCGCGCCACGTCTCCAGCAGAGGATGGCAGTGTTTCAAACCCTCCCAGCAGGGCAGAGGAGCTGAAACCTGGTCCGGAGCTGGCCCGCAGCAGCACGCAACGGTCTCCAGCAGGTGATGGCTGGGCAGGGGAGCTCATTCCTGGTCCAGAGCCGGCCCGCAGCAGCGCGGTATACATACTTTGGTGTATAAGTCGCAGGACCAGCCAGACTATGAAAAAAAGTGTGACTTATAGTCTGGAAAATACGGTAATCAGCACACTGCACAACCCCACTAGCACGTTATTTTACAAGTTTTATTATTCTCAGCATAAGAAATAAAACCAACATAACTGAGTCTGCTGAGTCAAACTACTTCTACTTGATCATATTTTGGAGGAAATGACATCATAACTTTCATCTCCGATATGTAGTTTTGACGTTTAGCCCTCTGATGCTTTACCACCAAGCGCTCTGCTGGTTGCACCAACATCCTCTCCATTTCCAGGCCCTGTTTACTCGATTGTGGCTCAAGTCACCTGTAATAAAACCAGCCGAGTCAATATTAGGACTCTGGGTGGATCCAAAAGACAACGTGCTACGTTCCCATCTGATAAAGGCAAATTTATATTCAGAGCGGGGTTTAGTAACCAGTAAATGGTTGGCAAACCCCAGACGATTCCCGGCAGCATCTCTCATGGTTTCACGTCCACCAGGAAACACTGGAATTTCAGGATTTGTTACTGGATGCAAGTCAAACAAAACACAGAAAACAGCTGACTCACACTGGGACCAGATTCTGTACAACAGCACACTAATTTAGCTGATAGTTGATCAATAGTTGTTCAGTGTGTTTTCTCATCTTCTGCTGGGAGACCGCAGAGTCCTGATGAATAACTGTTGCATCTTTTTAGAGACGTCTCAAACGGCAGCAAGAGTTTGGCTTTCCCTCGTGTGGTGTCACACCACACTGTTGCAACATGCAAAACTGAAACGTGTGTGTGTGTGTGTGTGTGTGTGTGTGTGTGTGTGTGTGTGTGTGTGTGTGTGTGTGTGTGTGTGTGTGTGTGTGTGTGTGTGTGTGTGTGTGTGTGTGTGTTTTCAGGCTAAAAGGAAACCATGAAAACAAAGGTCTCCAAACTAGGCAGCTGCGAGCTAGCAGCAGATAAATAAAATGTTGCGGTGCTTAAAATAAACCAGACAGGTGGAACCCTGAGCCACAGTCTAAAACAGCGACTTGCAACTGCAAAGTCAAGTCTGTGTCGTTTATGTAGAATAGTACATTTTTTTAAAATGGAACAGATCTGCTGCAAACCTCTAAAATAGCTGCAGTAATCAACAAGACTACAATAATTCTACTTCTAAGTCAATTTTGTTTGAGTCTAAAGGAGGAAGGCAAGAAAAACCAGCTTTGTTCACTTCTGCTCTTCTGTGCATTTTCATTTCTCTGTTGCTTTAAAATGCTCTCACAGGATCTAAAACCTCGCCGATGCAAAAGCCTTAAAGTCACTTTTTACCTTTCTGAGCTCGGTTTTGTTGCTTGATTTAAGACAAACTTAAATCCAAACTGCTCTGAGATCAACTCTTAAAGGAGACATAACATGCTTTTAAGTTATTCCTTTTTACATCTAAATCCTTCAGTTGGGGGTCTAAATACAGTGGAACTGCAGTTCTTTGGTCTGATTTCCTCATTATTGTTGCTCTACAGACCCTCATCTACCCCTGTTCTGAGGAGAGTCTTGAGAACGAGCCGTTTTTGGGTACTGTCTCTTTAAACTGGAGGAGGAGCTGTAAACTCCGCCCCCCTCCATAGTGCAGACCTGTACTCTCCTCCCCCAGTCGGACTTTGTAGTTCTATAGAGAAATCATTATTTAGCATAGCAGATTTAGCATAGCATATTAGCATTTTTAAAACATGTGGGGAGAGTAGTTCATCAAGCTGTTCCAAGGCTGCTAACTCTCTCATGCATTTGTCTGTAGTCACTCACACACACCCGTCACGGCCGACGGAGGGACAAGTGAGCAGGCACGTGCGCGCACACACACACACACATCCGTCACGGCCGACGAGACAAGCGAGCAGGCACGCGCACGCGCACACACACAAGGAATGCTGCTTGCTTATTTATTTCTATAAAAAATGTTTTAAAAAACGATACAGCTCATTAAAACACCATTAAAATATATTTTATTAAGATCTCTATCTATCTATATATATATACATACATATAATTATAAATAATTTTATAAGTAGTCTTATTTAATATTGGGTGTCTTAATGGCTGAAAATGGATAAAAAGCAGTTACATTTTAATTTAAAGATTTGAGATTCTAGTCAAAAATAAAGAACATTCCTCCAAATGTTCTTTAATGTGATCATTATAATTCTAATGCTTACAACTTTGTTTTTATTGTCTGCAATGCGTAGCCTATATCTTTATTAAATATGTGTTTAGCTGTAAAGTGGTAATTCTCTCTAATGTGTACAGAGGTGGACATCAGTGCTGCAGTGAAATTCCCAAGATCAGTCTGCTTTGCTAACAAATATAGTTAAATCTTACCTGCATTCTAAATAAATACCGTTAGGTGAAAACATCAGTAGGCATTGAGTTATTGATACAATCCCTAACAGCCAGAATGGAAGAAGAGCATGCTGGGTCATCCTGGATCTGAGCCTGTTCTGTGTATTTACCTACAGGATGCAATAAATGTCTACAAGGCTGAGTTTGGACCATTACATCTAAAAGAAAACATACAATCAGTGATTTTTTTTATTGTTTACATTAATATACAAATTTTCTAAGTATTAACCTCACAGCAAATAAGTAGAACAATATAATAAACAGGTTTTAGTAGTTAAACAGGTTTTAGTAGTTAAACAGGCGTTGTGCACACAGGTGCTTTGTGTCCCGGTGCTGGTGGTATCTAGGTCTCAGAGTTCCTGTCCTCCTGCCGTCTTCTGCTGTCCTCAGGATACGGATTGATGTTTCCTGATGATGAGGGAGGGGCAGTATGTGGGCTTCAAACTGGTCCTGGATAACAGTGGGAGACCTCCGTTGTCTGAATACTGAGACCAGAGAGTTGGTGAGATGCAGATCTTCTCTACCTCATCTAGAAACGGAGTTGGTTCAGGGAAAACTTTTCCAAAGACCAGTTCCATGATGTCATCGCCATATTCTGCAATGATAGACGATAACTTTAATGACATATTTTGTTTACAAGCAGCTTTAGGAAAGTTGTTTCTTTAGCTTTCATGTTTATAGTCACGTTTGTGTTGCTGCAGTGACTTCATATTCTTACAAATGTAATAAAATAGTGACACTAAAATTATACAAATGATTCCTTATGAAAGGAAGCTCATTAGAGAGCAGTGCAGACAGACTTACTACATGCTGCAGCTGTTTTTGTAGGCCAGCTGCTGCTGAATTTGGGGAAAGTTATTCTGCACACATCCAGATCAGATGGTCGATTACAGAAAATAATGTAATTCAATAATTTCTAAACAGACTAAACAAGTAAAACATCAAATAAATCACTCTGCTGTCATCAGACGGAGGGATTCAGGGGGTGAGGTGTTCTTAATGATGAGGGTGGCTGAGGTGTGTCATCACTCACTTTGGTCTGGTCCAGCTACCATCTCTTTACTGGTGGGTCTCCTTCCTCAGTAGGTGACGTGAGCTCCAACATCTGAGCGTTCTGTGTTCCTTAGAGGAGAAGAAAAGTAACATTAGCAAGCTGGCTAAATTATTTTTACTAGCATCTCAAGGACTTGGAGAAGCAGATCTTCACTTACCTAAACATCAGACCAGTTTGTCCCAGCTGAGCTCATCAGGGCGTTAGTCTGACAGCCTGTCAGTGAAACACAGCTCCAGCGTTCTGGATGTGGACTCTAAAAAGCAAAGGAGCATTTTTAACATTGTTTTAATTATTTTACAGCTGATTTGATCAGCTTTCCGATGCTCACGCTCATACAGACGGTGAGCTTTGCTGCGTCTGACTGATGCAGAGTTAGTTTTTATATCTGCAGTGAGACAAAAAACTAACCTCACTTCACTCAGAGATTGTTCTTTAAAACTATTAAATCCACTGTGTTGACGCACTTTAATGACTTTGTCATGCTGCATTTTAGCTGATATGGGACTTTATTTACTGGATGCTAAGATTACATCACACGTAAAATAACACACAGGCTCTCTGCTGCTACAATCAGTGGGAGGTTATCATCTGGTGTAAAAGTAGGCGTTGATCAGAAATCACGTTTTATTCCACAAAAATCAGCCAAATCCACATTAATCTGGGTGCTAACTTTACTAGCATACTGTGCTAGCGATAGCAAGCCGGATGCTAACGCTTTAGTGCTGCTAATGCCCGTAAACCTAAAGTAAAGTTTGTCGACATTTTAGAGTGATATGAAGCTTACCGCTCTGCTGCTGTGTCCCGGTGCTGCCACATTCAGATGGAAATGACTCCTTTTAGATAGATGAAGCCCTCGGTACTTACTAGCCAGGAGACACGAACGAACCACGCGAGCGCACACACACACACACACACACACACACACTACTTTTTCTGCAGTTTTTTTTTAGCAGTAGTGTCATCAGCTCCTGGGTTTAAATACTGCCACACCACCCTTCCTTAAAACGAGGAACAGTTTTGAGCTGTGTGTGGCTAAAATAACCAGACATTCAGCATTTTTCCAATAGGACTACAAAAAATCTTAGCGAGATGAAAAAATGGCGGATTGGCTCTGTGTTTAGCCGAGGGCCATTACCATATTTGGTAGTTATCCTGACGAAATAAATTACTGATTTAATAGATAATTTGAAAAACTGAACGGGTGGACAAATATGCCCAAAACTTAATTATTAAATATCTAAATAGCAACTCCAGTGAATAATATAAGCCTTTTTGCTCACTTAGACACTTAAAATGTGAAACACACTGTGTTAACGGATAAAAAAGTGGGTTTTTCATGTTATGTCTCCTTTAAAAGAAGCACAAAAATCTGAATTTATAAGGATTTATTCTTGTAATGATAATTTATCGGTATTGATATATCAAAAATGTCAATAACTAGAAGAGTTTCATGGATGCAGTAACTTACAGACTGATGATATTGCTGTAATATTTCCTCACTGATTGCAAATCTGAGTCGTAGATAAATCGCAATAAACATTGTGAAGGTTTTTTTTTTTTGAAAATGTCTCATAACATTTGGTCCATCTCTGCTTCCTCATCTAAGTTACTCAGTCATGTTGCAAGAATTTTGAACATCCTTTGAAAAAGTCAGAGTGGTTGTGTCCTTCTGGAGCCGTTCGGGGTGTGGGAAAGGATGAGAAACGTCAGACAACAGACCTGCAGATGGAAGAAGACACGATTAGGACCTGAAGTCTTGCACAGCTGATGATGAATTATAGAAGAAAACACGATGCACCCAGCTCTGCTTTAAGTGGACCTATGTGCACCAGTACGTTAGCCTGGTGAGCAATCCTGTAAGGAAACTGTCCACGACCCATAGACAGAGTTCAGTTGTAGGGGCAGAATCTACGTATGTCTTTTAAACTGTCCCTGCACACAGCTGGAAAACATGACACATCCATCCCTGCAGAAATCAGTCAGCGGGGCAGTCCGCCATACACCGTCCAAGAAGACCCTCTTGAGTGTGAACCGTCGAACGTTGATGCCAAAGCTGTTTCAAACGGGCGCCGCTCCCGAGCTGTGCTGTTGTTGTTTGGCTCCATCGCAGCTCCATCTGCCGTCGTCATGAAAAAAAGAGGCTTGACCTCAACTTGGCATCCCCAGATGTGGACCTGCTGAGGCTACAATAAAGTGTGGCTAGACCAACCGGCAGAGCAGAGCCTACGTGCACCAGCACTTTTAAATGTTACTCTTCGACGTACCGGGACTTTTCCAGCTATTTATCAGTCAACATCTCTGATTTCCTCAGTCCATGAAATCACAGGAGCAAATCTGTCATCATTCAGAGCACCAAGACCTCCTTTGTGGGAGTGGTCTGCTTCAAATCTACCGGTCATTTAAGGGCCAGTGGATCCTTGGTACGTGTGTGTGTGTGTGTGTGTGTGTGTGTGAAAAAGTCCTTTAATTCACCAGTTTCAAGGTTTTAAACCAAAAGGCCTTTGATTTTAGCAATCCTATCAAGTAAACTCAGACTTTGTTTACAACAGGAGGACTTTAACGAGTAAACTGATAAAACTCAGCATTCTGTAGACCTGTGTCACACAGCAGTAACGGAGCTAAAAACAAATAATCGAGCAGAAACACGGGTCGTTCGTGAGATGCCAGAGCACTTACACCACGTCGCGTTCCAAAACCAACAACCTCGGTTATTTACGTCCGCAAGCAAATGCTGACAACGGAGAGTTTACAGATCTTTTTAAACGATCATTTTTGGTGCCGCACGTCCTCACTTTTGTGTGGATGACATGACAAACAGAAAAATGTCTTGGTCTCGTGGGAAACCTGCTTTGTGTGCACACGGTCTGAGTCTGTTGGACAATCAAAAGTGTACCGCAGCTTATAAAACCTTTAAAATGGTAAACCTAACCATTAAAACCAGAAAGTGCTTCATCCCTGACTCCAACTAGCCTCTACCAGCTACAGCGCAGCAAGATTCTGATTAGGATCGTGGTAGCTAGCATGATAAACTAACATCAGCCTGTGGAACCGCTGTGAGGACAGAAGAGCAGGAGGAAACCTGGGATAATTGCTACAGATGTGAAAATATTTGATAGTACAGCTATTGTACTTTTCCCCCAGTGTTGTGCAGCTCTACTGCAGTAAGTTCAGACGTGTGTAATTTTCCATGCGTGTTCTTTGACAGGACCCTGGAGTGGAGCGTGTGATGAGGGATCTGAGAATTTTCCGAATCTTCGAGGGCACAAACGACATCCTGAGGCTGTTTGTGGCTCTGAACGGCTTCCAGGTTACAGAGAAATAATTATTTTATGCATTTAGGTGGGGGTCAGCTGTCTGGGTGTGGAAGCATGTACAGAGGAAGTAACTTCTTTTGCACACCAGCTTCAAACGGTCCTTTTTAAAGTGCTGCAACATCTTGTAGTTTTGAAAGATTCAGCTTCCTCAAACACATTTTGCACATTTCTCTAATTTATGTTCCAAAGCTTTGAGAACTAAAAGTTTGGTGCGTTTTTTATTTACTAAACAAGCAAACAAACAAAAAAAAACAGGAAATAGTTATTTGAAGTGTACAGTTAGAGTAAAACCAAATGAGCAGCTTACCCGTTGGTCTCCTTTTCCCCTCCAGAACGCCGGTAACCACCTGAAGAGTCTGCAGAAGGCTCTGAAGAACCCCATCGGTAACGCCGGGCTCATTGCTGGAGAGATCACAAAGAGAGCCAAAAGGTTCTTTTTCACCATCAGCTTCTTTCTGAGTTTTGGGAGCAAAGACTCCCCCCCCCCGATGATGGGAGATATGGACGTGTTTATGTAATTCAGAGCACAAAGCGAGAGTTATCGGCTTCCTGTCTGCTGCCGTGTGGTGTGTTATAGATGGGGTTTACACCTTATTAGTCAAAGTGATCAGATAAGATTGTGTGCAGACATAATCTAAAGCCCTTTTAGTTCCTTTCATGCTTTTTTCCTTTAAATAGGATTAAAAGCTTCCTGTATGTCTGCAGTTGCGCTGTTATAACAGCTCTTCCAGAATCTTCCTTTTACTCAGCTCAACACGTTACAGACCAAGTTACGTCATTCTAGCTGAGGGCAAAAACATGAGACCCTCAGCTGAAAACATGCAATTATCCTCTTTAAGTCACATATTCTATCATTTCTTATCAGACTGAAACAACCTGACTGAGGGTGATGGCGCTAAACCACTATATCACAACTTGGATTGATTTTATAATGGTTTAAACTCCATTTAAGATGACGCAGTTTTCATCTTTTTATTTAAATGTTACTGAAATATGGTCCTTGAATAAAAGCTATAAAAGAAATTTTAGGCCGAGTAACAATTCTGCACAGATTTGAATTAGTTTGAGCAATTAATTAATAGATAGTGTAACACATCACACCTACAGTACCAGCATAACTAAACACCTCTGGCCTTAAAGCCCCCAGATGTGTAAAGGTTGGTTTATGCTTGACGCGTCCGCGAGGTTCGCACGGCTCCGCGCGGAAAAGTTGCGTCATTCTAACAACCACGCGCCTCCGCACGGCCCAAACTTTCCGCACGGCGCACCTAGGAAATTTCCTAACTACGCGGACGGTCGGACGCGGAAAAACATGGCGGACTGGCAAGAACTAGTATGGCAGAGGTTGGAGAGAAATAGCTCGCACTGTCGGAAAAGACGAGGACGCTGTTAAAAAATGCTGGAATGCCATGTTGTAAACAGTAATTTCTACTTCTATGGTGTAGTGTTGGATGCATGCCGTAGAGCTCCATGCTGCCCCCTACAGTTTGGGAGAATATTGGCTCACCGCAGAGACAAGTCGCATGAACCATAAACGCTGCGAGTTGTGAAGCTCGTTCCATCCGCGAGCCGCATCACCAAGCGGAAAGTAAATGTGTCAAGCATAAACCAAGCTTTAGGATTAGTACCTTCATCATAAACCTGCCATAGCCAGTCTACTGCCCTCTGGTGGAGGGTCTGCAGATGGCAAGGGCCCATTTTATTTGTCTATTCTTATAGAAATTCTTAATAAAATAATTATCAGTTTATTTTTTTACATCACACAATAAATATTTCAGTTTATAAAACGTTGATGTTTCAGGCTTTAAGGAGATTACATAATGCATCTACAGAACAAGCTCATCTGCACTCTGGACGCCTCTGGTGGAAACGGCGCAGAGTTCTTCATCAGCAGGTTTTGTGATGCCATTTATAGCAGCATAACTCAGCATAAACCTAGCATTAGCATGCTCGTGCTAACGGGCTATTAAGGCTAACGCGCCACCACAGCTGGCAGTAAACAGAAATCACCAACTCACAGTAAAGTCGTGTTGGAGCCAGAGATCACCACCAGGTCGGGATCAGAGTGTCACGTCTAAAACGGTCAGTCCAGAAACTGACTTCTTGCAGTGTTTTGACACGATTTTGGCCCTTCATGGAACAATGCCCCTATGGCTGATTTTTTTTATAATGGTAGGGTTAATTTAACTCTTCTTCTGTGCTTTTATAGGAAGGCAGGATTGAGCACTGGTCTGACTCTACAGGGGAGCATACATCCTGAGCTGGCACAGAGCGGTGACCTGGTCTGTTCCTTTTCTTTATTTGTTTATTTATTTATGGATTTTCTTCATGATTAATTACGTTTTAGCTATGAAAGCCGTGCAATTAATTGCCAATTTTGGTCGGTTGACAGCCCTATATAAACAAATGAACTGCACAGCCCTTTCTTCTTTTGCATCTTATTTGCTGCTGTTGCACCAAAATTTTCCCACTGAGGACCAGTAAGGCATATTTCTATTCTATATCGCAGCCTGATTGGTAAAGGGGGTGTTTTTTAAGGGGCCTCCCCATAAAGCATGATGCTGGCTGAGTGGGTGTCGGTTTGACAGGACCCGTTTTTCCTCTTCCAAATGAAACTAAGTGAAAAGCTTGAGTGTTTTTTTTTCTCTGACAGATTCAGAAACGTGTCACCTAACGTTTGTTGTGCTTTGTCCTCCAGACGGTTAAAGCCATTGAGCAGTTTGGAGAGGTCATTGAGAAGCTCCTGATCAAACACGGCAAGAAGATCATCGGTGAGTTCTTGTTCAGCACTTTGGTAGCTAAATAAATGCTCTGAAGGTGAACTCATGGAGCGGTTTGATCCTTCAGATGAGCAGTTTGTTTTGAAGAGAGTTGCGGATTGTGCGATCGACCTCTACGCCATGGTGGTCGTCCTGTCGAGGTATGGACACATGAGACCGAAACTCCCACCTATTTGTTTCTGCTCCTGAACTCCTATGCAGCCCTGATGCTTTGGTTTTGTGTTTGCTCCACCGTCTGCAGGGCCTCACGCTCTCTGGGTCAGGGCCACCCATCAGCTCAGCACGAGAAAATGCTGTGTGACACCTGGTGTGTGGAGGTAAGACCTCTTATGCCTGATTCATGCTTCTCCGTCAGCTCCGCAAGGGAGAGACACGCACGCACGGAGACATTTTGCCCTCATACTTCTCCGTCTCCTGGGGAGTGTTGTAAAGCAATTCCCCGCCAGGACAGCAGAGGGCGTAGCGCTGTTCTGTGGTGTCCTGTCATGTATCCGGTCCAAGATAGCGTGTTTATATTGTGTTTTTTGTATATAAGAGACTTTTAACACAGACATATTTGTCTCTCATCCTCCTCCACCTCTTCATGCACTCCCCACCTCTAAACCCACGTTTCCTGTCATTTCCGTCCACAAATAAAACGCTTGCTGCGCATCTTTTCACTCCTCCAGTCACGGAGAATTAAACCTTCATATTTTCAGAGTTTTTTCGCGAGGCTTTCTTCAAGCTTCTCCGTGTCTGCCGCTAGTTATCCTTGGCTCTCTTTATGTTTTTGAGGGCGCAATGGTGGTGTTGTAGACAACAGCGGCGTCCTGACCAATACCAAGCTTGCATTCTCCATCTCGATGGATGGATGTTTAGAAAAGAGAGCTCGACTCCATCCGTCCTTGCGGGCCTGCTGGAGATAATGGTGTTGCGTGTCTCTGCACTGACGCAGACGCATGAATCAGGCTTTACACACACACACACACACGCACACACACTTCTGTACATTTCACCAGTTAACATCCTCTCAGAGATATTTATTAATGACAATCTCAAGTTTATCCACGGTTGGGCAGCATGTCCCAACTTTTACGTGACAGTTTTTTAAATAAACCATATTGGTTTTACGGTATTTTATTTACATACAAGGTTGTTCTGACCCACTTTACCATCAAAGGTTTTCATTTGTTTTCTCAAATTACGGATAAGCCTGTTTAATTCTGTCAAATGCCACCAAAACAAAAACATTTCTAATCATAACTATAATTGGTAACGGTCAGCACGAGGTAGTTGACATTAAACATAACAACTGTAGTTTGTGTGAATCGGTCCTGGCAACCAACCTTTCATCCTGACTGAGTCAACCCGAGTTCTTGGCAGCCAATCAGATGGGAGGTGGAAAAACCAAGCAACCCCCCCACCCAAACACACGCACACAGGAGACACACAGAAGCAAAACATTCTGCGTGCAAACCCACCCCTACCTCGTTCTCATGGACGACGGTCGGCAGCGAAACAGTCCACACTTGCGCTCCCCCATCCCCCTCATGGATGACACCCCCCCCCCCAACTTTTGTGTATTTTGCAGGTTGAATTTACGTAAATTTTCCGCTGTTATGTGTTGTTGACGTGTCGTGTGATAGACACATGCAATTGAACTCATTCGCTGCCAGCCGTTTCCTGATCGGTAAAGCCCTTCGCTGCCAGCATTTCTCACCGTTTTTACTGTTATTTTAAGAGTGACAGAACGTTGCGCGCTAGCATGATGTCGACGCCAAAACAACCAAAACAAAGCGGAGACTCACCTCTTACATCAGGAAGAGTCCGCGCGTTTCGAGCGATATCCGTTCTTTCATAATCCGTTGTTGAATTGCGATTGGCAGAAGCTTTTCCGGTTCGTGCCTCACTTTTTTTTTTCAGCAGCGGCCCAAAACGATCTCCTAACACATGGATGTTCTGCTTCCTGATTACGTGACATATGTGGATGAAGATCGGCTTTAGAGCTGAGATGTTTGTTCTCACGGTGCGGGGGCTCGTCCGACGCTCACACAGTAAAAAAATAAATAAATAAATACAAATGACGACATTAGTCGTCATTGGCAGTGAACGAGTTAATGTGTTTGTGACCCAGCTGGCATTCCATAATACCAAACTGACCCGATTTCCAACACTAGGAAAAGACAAATCACAGATTTTAGACTTCAGGCCACAGATGTTGGGAAAAGTTTGATTAACAAGTTAATAAATAGTACAAGTGAGTTAAAAAGGTTCAAATGTTTTAGGCTTTGAAAACAAATAAAAGTGAGACATTGCTGCTGTTACGAACAATCTTTGTCGTACTGTGTGTGTGAAACGTGGCAGAGTAAGCGCTCGTAACTCGGTCTCAGATCTGTGACTGACAGCAGGTCCTCTTTATGGGTCAAATTCCTAATTATTCTCGAGTTGTACCAGATAAAACTAAAATATCTCAAAAACTAAACCTCAGAGCTGTCATGTTTAGGCATTTTGAGAGAGGAGATGAAGCCGAAGAGTTTGATGGGTAAAATGTAAAAGGCGGGTCTCTAAGGAGTAAAAACGGATACTGATGTTCTTATCGGACATCCCTAGTTTAACTGCACACCAGAAGCTTTAAGTAGCTGTAGTACATATACAAAATAACTTCAGATATTTTCTCATTGTTGTAACATTGGTGCAGAACCAAAACACCAGACTGAAGGACCTTTCGCTCTTAGCAGTGGTTTAATAGACATCGAGCAGCTGAGATAACCCTGCTTCTCCAGTTTCACTCTCAACCCACTCGTCTCTTAAAGGACTCATCTACACCTGCACTCACAATAACTCCTTACAGATCGTCACAAAACTCAGCAATGTTTTCATGTGTTGTCTGATGTTTCATAATCATTTCTAATGTGATGTTCTCTAATAGTTTTTGATCAATTCTTTTATTTTTCCGAGCAGTGTCTGTCTAACCCTCATGGTAGAAAAGGAAACAGATTGTCACAATAAAAACAAAGATGTAAAGGTCAGAGGTCACTAAGAAAACCACTTTGAATTAGATACATATCTGAAGCCCACGAGGACATTGTCCTACGTGGTTCAAAAATGTCCTGTGTGAGACACTCCCATGCCTGCCAGTTTGTCAGGGTGGCTCTAAGGTTTCCTCACTGTAACAAAAGTTTATCAGATCTTATCTAATCCATCTTAATTCTGTTCTCACTTCATGATTCTAGATGCATTTCAAGCTGCTTTAATGGTTGCCTTTACCTTCCAGGCCTATGACAGGGTCGTACGTGATGTGAAGCTTCTGCAGTCCGCTCAGTCCAAACAGCTCTTCAACAACATGAGGTCCATCTCTGCGGCTGTGGTGGAGAACAGAGGAGTGGTCTCTCCTCACCCCCTGGGTTTCTAAATTACCACCCATGCTCTCCAAATCCTTTTTTGTGCCACGGTTGTTGACTTTTCTCGGTCACATCAGTTTCCTTTCATCAGATTGAAGTTGAGTTTAACACAGGATTCTGTTTCTTTCTATCGGTTTTGGTGCCATGTGCTCTTACCCTCGAGCGGCCTCGGATTAGAGGAGTCAGAATCTGTAGAACAGGGTCGAAGTGTCTCATTGATTCTACAGCAGCTAGCTGAATGTCTCAGAATGTGTAAGTGTGGAGCTTGTAAATGGGCCAGTTTCTTTCATGCAAGTGTAGCTTATTAAGCTAAAGTTGGTTTTGTTGCTTTAACTCAGACACGATCAATGCAACTGTGGGATGAAACCGAGGATGAGGGTTTCTGTAAAAAGCAGTTTAAGGGTGTTATGAAGAACATAATGTACTTTTAAATTTGTTTTGAAATGTATTTAACTCTGTGTGCCGTTGCTGTACGCAAACGCCTTTTTCTGCATGTTCAGCTCTTCAGATCAAAGTCAAAACTGCCTTCGAAGCTGTGAAACGGATGCTGTATGTAAATGTAGAATACACCATCATCTGCATATCTAGAAACAAGAGGAAGCGGTGCTCATATTTAGGAAAGCATCTGTAATATAACAATGGAATTTCAGGCATTACTTTTACTAAACCGTTTAATGCGATCAAACTAAACATGACTAAGTCAGCTACTTTAGTGAGGCTGGTGTTTGTTAGCCATGTTTAAACGGGTGCAATCTGGATTTATGGATTACAATCGCACCCTCAGCGAGCACTTGTAAACTCTGTAGATTTCTGTATGAATTTGGTGTATTTGCAATGCAATAATCATGTCAATAAACATGTGAAAGTCTCTGCTCGACGGTTTGGAAAGTTGTTTATAATCTATTCCTTCCTTCCTTCCTTCCTTCCTTCATTGGTTTGGTTTCGCTTCTGCTGCTCGTCTCTTCCAGAGGAAACACCTCACCTGTGATGTCGGTAAGTGTTCCGCCACGAGTCAGCTGGTTCTGTTATGAAATACAAACAAGTTTTGCTTCTCTGGGTAGGTGAGGGGGACAGTGTGACGGCTGTGGTGTGAACATGTAGAAATCCCCTGGCGTGCGGCATGGCTCAACAGAAACCCAAACGACGATGTCAGCAGCAGCCAGATACACACCCATTTAGCTGAACTCTGGGAAATAAAAACAAATTTTGAATGTTAACGACGCTATTGTTTGGACAATGCTAACTTGGGATCTAATTCCATTTGAGTTCATTTTTATTCCCAGCACGTTTCCAGATTGGTTGCTGTACCTGACTAGGTAATTATCAACATTTAACGCCATCAGACGCAGTCGAGAAACCATCCATCCATTTTCTAGACCTGCTCGTCCATGCAGGGTCAAAACATTTTAGCAAAATCAGAAAAAACTACCGCTGAGACGTTAATGTTTGATGTTTTTTTATTTCATTTAAAAGTTTTAGAAAAAATAACTTCTTTTCTTGAAAAATCTCAGGTATTTAAGAAAAGCTTGGGTTAAAAAAAGGTAATAAATTAGGAATTTGCATAAAATGCAGCTTTTAGTATGCAAATGATTCACTAAACATGAGCTTATTCAAATAACCAAAATGGAAAACACAGAAGAACAAAAATAAAAATAATTACCGTAAATCCTCTAATACAGACCCGGGCCTGTATTTGACTCAAGCTCGTCAAGCTCCAGGCCTTTATTGGAAGGAGGACCAGAATTAGAGGCAGGCCTTAATTTCTATTTGAGCAAAATGAACTAATGGTTCGCTGGAGTTTTTGACAATTAAAATTGCGCCCACATTTTCAAAGTTAAACACATTTGTTTTAACAACGGTAGTTTCTGCTTCAGCCCTCTCCCCCCTCTGTTAAATTGCAAGAGAGTAAACACACAATTTGGTTAAATGTCCGTTTTACGGCGGGTGTCAGTACCGACGCTCTGGCTCAGCGCATTGCCTCCCGACGCGCAGGAGCTTGTCACCTGCTGACAGCAGGCTGCTGTCTTTTCCGAGGACTGCATCTTGCCGGTCATTATCACGTGATAGCGACAAGTCCATGACAGGCATAAAAAGTCACTATAGAGCGGTGAAGTCGACTAGTGACTAGTTCATACAACCCCTGCTACTGCTCCCCAGAGTGTTCTGCAGCATAATCAGCACGTTCTCTTTGAACGTGATATCAAATTTTCGCCGCCTCTTCGTCTCCGCACGGTTAAAGTTACCCTCGCGGTCTATCACTGGCAAATCAAAAGTGAGACGGATGAACAACCGCCCCCCGTACTTGCTTGTTACCACATTCCACCCAGCCACAATAAAAAACCGGCCATGATTCACCGACTCCGACACCGGCCAAAATATGATACCCGGCAGTTAATTAAATACAGGCCAATATTAGAGGATTTACGGTACTTGACTTTTATAAGTCAACTTTTAGACAGAAGTTTTTTCTTTTAGGTCTCATCTACACGTGTGTGTGGTCCAGATAAAACCAATATGTTTGTAACCAGCACAAATCTTATTTTTTTTATAACTCACATTCTCATCAATCTCACATTTGTTACAAAATTCCTGTCTGATGTGCTACAGTAGCTAACTCTGCTGCTTCCCACCAGAAGTGCAGAGCTCTGTCACTTCTGGTTGGAAGGTCCAGTAACAAATACGTTGCAAATTCATATGCATGCAAGAAAACTGCATGACAACAGAATGGGGGGGATAATGTGACAACAGAGACGTTAATGTGGCAATACTAATGAGAACATAAGAACTGGCATAATGTGGAAGTTTATGGGAATTTGTAAAAGGAAAAATGTCTAACAAATAAATGGTAACAATTCCTACGTACTTTTTAGGATTCAGAGTTAAAGGTGAAATATGGAACATGAACACCATAGCGACATCTAGTGTGTGGAGATTGTAGCTGCAACAACAGAACAAGGTTTCCATCTGTGGGGAGTTCGCTGGCGACACGTGAAGTGACCAGCCAGCACCATATCGTGGGTAAGGATTCATTTCTACGAATAAGTTTATTTCACAGCCGTATTTAACGTTAGAACATCTTCTGGGCTCAGAAGCAGCAGCTTGACTTGTCGAGTCCGCCGCTTTCCACTGTGCCAGCCCTGATGTGTCGAGCAGACTGTTCCCTCTATTGGCTGGTAGACGTAAACATAAACCCAGTGTCAAAATAAGTAATTATTTTTTATTTATAATATAGCTTTTAAAGAAAATACTGTAGCTACATTCTACACACCTCTGGAGGCATTATTTATAGAAATATAGCTTTTTATTTAATTGTTCCATATTCAACCTTTAGGACACTTCTGCAGGTGGCCCCATCTAGGCTAGGCACTCATCTTTGTTTCTGAAAACAGACTGCTCAAAGAGCTATGTGTAACAGGTAACACAAACTGTTTTAAAAGACCCATGCTAATCCGTTTAAGCCAAACGGGGTGAGATCGTGATTGATGTGTCATCGTAAACGGAGCTGGGCCGTCTGTCTTCAGATGCGCTTCCCAGACACTGCTTTTCTACCCAGTTTTCCCACACCGATGTCGTATCGTGGCCTGAACATTTCTGGTGTAGATCCTCAAAGCTGTAGTCAAGAAAACTGTTACACTGGGTTTGATCCTGAAAAGAGTACCAGCTGCTCAGTGAAGTTTTCCAATCACATGTGAGATCCTGAACCGGTCCCTTCAGGTTTTGTCCTTACTTCCTTGAGACGACTGTGAGAAAGGGGAGACTGACAAGGGCCCGGTTTCTTCCTCCTCCTTGTCTCCAAGTGGGGTCTCTAACGAAAGGATGGTCTGTGCCGTCAGCGAGCGGTCCCTGGGGCGGAAACCCAAAAGAAAACAAAGTAGTGAGCTACTGTGCATCGTGCTCTCTTGTGGTCAAAGCACCCTAAAGTGTTTTTAGGTAAGAGCTGTAGTCGTAGCAGTAAGGAAGGATGTTTGACACATTCCAGTCATCTGAGATGTGGTCACTTCGCCAATTTCATTCGTTCATTTTGCTTCGCATTGCTTAAATAAGATTAAAGGTGAGTTTCCGACCCGTGTGCACTGGCTCCCTTCATCATGTGACCTGACGTTTACTAAATGCTGCCATTTGGAGAGGAATTTCCCTGTAGAAAACCTCTTAAAACGTTTGTTCCCACGTGATACTAAACTGAAAGTAACTCAAAAATGAATAAGAGGAACCTTGTTTTTAACCGTGTTTGCAAAATGTGAACTTGACTTGTAACAAGTCTGAACTGGAACCAAAAAGTTTTAATGTAGAAGAACTTTTATAATTAATTGTACCCTCCAGTCCATTGGATGTATATAAAATAATCCCATTACCAGTGTAAAAAAAATACATAATTGTATTTTCTAAGCTTGGTAAGAGCTTTTTTCTTTAAATTACAAGGAAACGGGGAGTCCAAATCTCCTCCCTTTCCAGTCGACTCATGGGTCCCAGGAAGAAAAAAAAAATTAAAGCAAGTCAACGGGACTTGAAACGCTATTTTCTAATCCGTTTTGCCTTACGCCCTGGAACACACACGTTGTACTGCAATTTAAAGGAAAACTAATGAAGTGTGTTTTGACCACGCCTGTCACGTACTTTGAGATTTATCAGCCTGTAAAGGTTTGTAATTAGCATGACTACACACTAGAAATCGACACGTCGCATATGTGACGTCACCACAGAATCGCCTCTCCTCTAGCGGAGCTGCTACTCACCACACGGCCAGATTTATGGTGGGCTTTTCCTCCTGAAGGAAGGGTTTTAAGTTTGCTGAACTGACAGCCATGTTCCCTTCATGTCTGGTTTGATGACGTCACTTTCATGAAGCACATTTGTAGTCCTGGACTTAATCAAGCGAATTAGAAAATGGTGTTTTTAGCCTCGTTGACTTGCATTCATTTTTTTGTTCTTTCGAAGTAGGTGGCTGTGACTTAGCCTCCCTATACAGCTTTTTACCTTCTTTGTGCACACCTCTAAATGCCCCGTGAAGGTAAAATCTTTCAAATAAATGTAGCTTTTAATTAAATTGCTCCATATTCAACCTTTGGGTGGCAGGATGACGTACCAGAAGCTAATAGAGGTAAGTATAGGAGACTAGCCTGTATGAAAAACGCAGAGTGACCGATTATCATCTTGCATAATCAGAAATAATAATAAAAAAATGAAAATAGTCTTATAATTCCAAACAATAACAGACTTATTACAGGAAAAGTCCTGCAGCATGGGGACCAATATAATTTGTCCCTGATTCAACCTACTTTGACTGAAAATTGAAAATACTTTTAAATATTACAGACATTACCCCAAAAGGAGATGAAATCATTTGAGAACCTTTTTTATGTTTTACAGAAATGTCCTACCCTACTATTACTGATTTATATCAAACAAATGTGTGATAAACTTTATTATTTTTGAGTCACCACAGAAAGCTAAATAGTAGGTTGTTGAAAGTGGATGTCAGTTACGATGCTCAGGTCAGTAATTGATACCTATTAATATTAAGATGGTATGTTTCTTTACGGTGACTCGTCCTTTTTAATATACTTTTCGTTGCCAAGCAGCCCAACATATTGGGTATGTTTTATGGTGGCCATAAACAACACTTCCTCAAGCCGTAGATCTTTGGACTGCTTTTCACTCGTTTTCGGTTCAGAACTTGACCAATGTCAGAGGCAGCGGTTACCAGCTGTAACCGAATCTGGTCAAAGATAAACCTGTTAAACCAGTCCGCATAAATAGATCTGGCCAAGTTCCCTGGACATTATCAAGGGACTATATTTCTTTGTTTGGACACGTAACTCAAGGGATGAGCCAATGCTATCAGCGCCTAACGGACCACTAATCTAGGAGCAAGCTTTATTTCACTAAAGTAAAAGCAATATCTCTGCGATGGACTGGCTCTCTTTCCAGGGTGTACCCCGCCTGATTGCCCATTGACCACTGGAGATAGGCACCAGTCCCCCCGCGACCCTACGTGGACAAAGCGGGTTCAGACAGTGGATGGATGGATGAAAAGCAATAGCTAGAACTTAACATTTATTAGCATTTTTAGTTTAGTCCATAAGATTAATAAGAATCACAAATATTGCAACAGCGTGGCTCTAAAGATAAATAAAGAAGTTTCCGTCTTGCAGAAATACGACACATCTTCACTAAGTAGGACAAATCCTACTTTGGTCCCAGGTCGAGATGCACTCTCCCTCTGATACAGCGTCCCAGTTCTGACTATGCTGTCTTTGTGCGTGTAATCATGAATAAATGCTTTAAACTGGAGACCAGCATCTCTGCTACTGCAACGCCTCAGCGTGATCTGCTTGATAACATTTCTCTGTTCTACCATGTCATCATGTGGTATTGTGCTCCTGCTGCTGCTTTTATTTATTAGCGTTTTTGTCGATCATTGTGAAAGTATTCTATTGACAATGCATTTTGAGTTTTACTAGACTTCTGGAAATCATCCCGACCCCTGATTGGCATTTCCATGAACCACGATGGGGTCACAACCCCAAACTTTGGGAACCACGGTGCAAACTGTTATTTGGTGGATTTTTCCTTTTTCATAAAGACATCATGTCCTGTATACCTTCTGTAAATATTATTTAAGTTGGTCACTTTTGAGTCCGTTTTATTTTTAAGCTCAAATAAAAGACACCTGGCCACGGATCAGGACATACCTGCTGCTAGGTGGTATGTGAGACCAGCTGGCTCTTACAGTCCACCCGAGGACCGACTTTAGATACCGGGAACAGCAGGGGAATCTGTGGTTCAGCTGCTCCAGAAGCTCGTCCTTGCGCAGGCCGTACACAACTGGCGCAATGCACTGCGCCACGCTGAAGGCGGCGAAAATCACCACCGCCGCCAGCTCTTTGGTTTCCTTCTGAATGGACTTCGTATTAAACAGGATCGTCAACGGGTAGCTCACAAAGTTCGGCAAGATGTAAACGGCCAGCTGGGTTCCGTGGAGGGCGATGGTCCTGCAACCGGCTCGGTTCCGCCGGTTGAGGACACCGAGCCTCCGACTCTCCACTAGAATCCTCACGTAGGTGTAGAGGATGAGGAGCGTGCACACCCCGATGAAGAGCATCTTCTGCAGCTCGCCCTTCTTCAGCTGGTCCCGGCTGCACTTATTGTTGTACTCATGGTCCGGCTGGAAGATCAGGCTGAGGGGGATGAGCAGTGCCACCATCCAGGTGAACACCCCCAGCAGCCAGGGCCAGAACCCCGCCGTGCAGGTGGACGTGTAGCGCATGGGATGGCACACGGCGCAGAAGCGGTCCAGAGCCATGGCGGTGAGCGTCAGCATGATGTTGGAGGCGCTGCTGATCAGCACCGTGATCATGGCCATGCACGCCGAGCGGCTCGGCCGCGCGCTCAGGTGGATCTGGTAGTTGAAGATGCTGCTCATGCCCAGGTGGACCAGCGCGGACACCAGCAGGTGGAAGACCAGCACGAAGCGCGCGTGTCGACGCAGCTTCTTCTCCCGAACGATGGTCCAGTTGATGATGAGGTTGAAGAAAAGCAGTACTGAGAAGGAGATGGTGGAGACGTAGAAGCGCACACAGGCGTACCCCCCCTCACCTGTGTCCGTGGTGTTGCTCAGAGACATTATTCCTCAGGTGGGTTGGGGTGGTCTCGTGTGGTTCTGATGATGGAGGAGGAGACAGGAGAGGAGCAGCGTCCACTATATGGTCCTGTCTGTCTGCTGCGTGGCTGAAGAAACTCTCTCTCTCTCTCTCTCTCTCTCTCTCTCTCTCTCTCTCTCTCTCTCTCTCTCTCTCTCTCTCTCTCTCTCTCTCTCTCTCTCTCTCTCTCTCTCTCTCTCGAACTTTTCAAGTCAATTATTACTCCTGTTTTCACTTCAAAGAAGGATCCATATAATAACGAGTCAAGGACGGATCTACAGAGGGAAAGGAGGGAGACTGACCCCCCCCCCCCCCCCCAGTTGCCCCTTACTGTAATGTCCTTAAAATCCACCCTAAACTCTCCTGATATCAGTTCTCTACAGTATTTTAATTGTATTTTTCCAGATTAGCCTTCAAAATATATTTATTTAATGGACTGTTTTTTTCACTTCTAAATGTTTCTTTGTCTTCTTAGAAGAAATAACGACAATAAATGGTTTAAAAGTGTTTTGTGGAGTTTGTGTTGACTCCATCTAAGAGGATTTTCACAAACTTTATTGAGCCTAGACCTACACCATGTTCTAGATCCACCATGGATCAGGAGTCTTTGGTTCTAGCTAGAGCAGATTAAATCCTGTGTTGCTTCTTGTTGCTTCAGATCCATCCACAATGTTGGACTCTGGCTTACACATTAGAAAACATGAACTTTGCTCTTACTGAACTGTCCCCCTATCTGCTTGGATTGTGGTCTAACTGCACGACCCACTTTCCCCCTTTATGTTCAGCTAACGGGTGTGTCCCTGTTATAAAGCCTCTGATATATGTAAACACAGAAGTAAATACACTATCATGGACTGGACACATGAGTGTAATGGTGGTGCTACGCCCTCTGTTGGCCTGGCAGGTATTTGCTTTGCAACTTTCCCCTGGTGACGGAGAAGTGAGAGAGCAAAACATCTTTCAATGCTCAATGTGTTTGCGTCTCCATGCGGAGCTGATGGAGAAGTATGAATCAGGCTTTAGGCAGCAAACTGGGAGACTTTATCCTAGTGTCCACGTACTTTAGAAAACCAAACTCTTGAATGAAGTCCATCCCACTCTGAAAGGATTGCGACATGCACCGTTTGTCGGTAATCTTCCTGTACACCCGCACGCACATCAACAAATAAATTAAATCTAACATATTCTACGAATTAGTTTTAAACAATAAAACAGAGTGCATGTCTCAGCCTGGCTGTCGTGCTAGTTTCACTTGAAAACCACATAAGAATAGAAAAACTATTGTTCTACAGTGACAGTGTTCTGCTGCCACCTGCTGGTGACGTCTGGTGCCAACCAGCCTTATTTATTTCTGAGTCTTATTTGTGCCTTTGACGGTAACACTTAAGTTTACGGAACACAAATTAACAACTAATTAGCTGCCAGTTAATATGCATATTAGTGGACTACTAAGTCTGAACTAGTCATTATTAAGCTAGTATTAGGTGCTTACTACCAATGCTGTAATTCTAATATTAACAGGCCATAAATTAAGAGTTTCATCAAAATAAGCCATTCATAATGGTTTAACTGAAAGTAAACCGTTTGTTGCTGATTAACGCACATACCAATCAGCTCAAATCAATATGTGGCTTTTAAAGAAGTAAATCAAGGGGACTAGTTATTCTGCATTGATAACCAAAATATTATGTTCTGGTATTATGTAAATAAACACCAAACTCCACATGTTAATAGAGCAGGCGTGGGGAACCCTGGTCCTCGAGGGCCGGTATCCTGCATGTCTCTGCTCCAAGTGTTTGATTCACCTGTGCAGCAGCTCATCAGGCTCTGCAGAAGCCTGTTAATCACCTGCTGATTGAAATCAGGTGTGTTGAAGCAGGGTTGAAGCTAAAATATGCTGTATAGTGGCCCTCGATGGACCAGGGTTCCCCACCCTTGTAATAGAGCCTAAACAACAATCAATTAACCACTTGTACACAAGAATATGTTTGGCCCAGAAAAGCCCGTTATTTCACTCCACAAAGCATTTAATCTTTCATAGATAACACATTTATTGTAAGCTATGGCCTATAATCATATTATATAGATCTGTCAGTGCTCAATGTGTTCAATGTCAGATATAGACAGATAGATAGATAGATAGATAGATAGATAGATAGATAGATAGATAGATAGATAGATAGATAGATAGAAAAACTTATTGTAAAGGGTTTAATTTACATGTTATTTAATGAACCATGAGACATGAGATTCCATAGGAAATATGGAATCAATCTTATGGATCTTTGGGTACTTTTAATCAGAAGATTGGAACTTTTTATTGCAGGGATTATGTAACACCTTGTATTGATTGAGAGACAACAGAAGAGAGAGTCAAGTTTTAAAGGTTTAAAGATTTATTACTAAACAAATTAAAACTAGACTAACCCTAACACTAAATGTGTGGTGTAACTAAGGTGAATGAGACGGAGAATGGTGTAGTGTGGAATGTTGCTCAGAACCAGCAAAGCCGAAGAAACGATTAGATCTGATGGGAGTGAAGGTGATGTCTTCACGCTAAGCTATGATTGGAGTTTCATAAACACATAAGATGCCATGTTGTCGCTCCACACATACCCTTAGAATGAGACCTCCGTACAGATCCAGAATACCAGGTCCTCCAACCCCCCTTTCGGTACCGGAGCCGATGAAACAGCGTCAGCAATACGACAGTCTTTGGATTGTCTCCAGGTAAAAAGCGACCGTTGGTTGACAGCGTCAGATGGACCCGTGGAGGGTCAGTGAATTCAGCTTTTATTCTAAAAGAAACCGTTGCTTGGTTGGTAAAATGCAACAGATTTTATCCAGCTTGTCATTGGTTCTTTTGGCTGAAGAGGAAAGTTACGGATTGGCCACTCCGTCAACTTCTCTAGAACGCTTTGAACTGGCGTTAAAGATGACGTGGGCATAGTTTTATACTTCGGATGTTTTGGTTTATGGTCGAAGATTCTGATTGGATCAGTGAAAGCCACATGTCATGTCTTAACGCTACGTGAGATCAGTCCTAGTGGAAACATTTAAAGTTATATTACTTATTATATTCTATAGGATTATAATAACGTAATTAATATTTTCATTTCACAAATTGGTTCACATTTTATTACTGACTAACACTTTGTTTGATTAGATTATTAAAAATAGAGTTCTTTGATTTGTTAAAAAGGAAGAGTCCTTTGTCTTCATTCTTCTCTTGGGCTGGAAAGGAAAACAGTTTAGGAGCAAATGCGTGACCTTGAACAATATCTCATGCAGACGAGTTCTTGCTGAGGAGAGGGGGAAATGACTTTTAGATGGAAAACGTTGGTTACGTATTGTAACCCCAGATTCTATGAGCCTAGTCACAGCCCTTAAGCGAGCTGCTATTGGAAGGGTGATCTCAGCATCAGCCAATCATGAAGAGCTTAAATGTACGCCCACCACGTGGGCACCCCTTGTGGGTTATATAAGTGGAACGACCCCACTGTTCGCCTCCGATGGCTCTTAGTCCTAACAGAACCAGTGGGGCCAGTGGCTTAAGGGCTGCGACTAGACTCATAGAATCTGGGGTTAAAATACGTAACCAACGTTTTATTTCGTCTAGTCTTAGCCCTTAAGCGAGCTGCTATTGGAATAATGCGCAGCTGGATGGGTTTACGCCACACTGGTTAGCTCAACCAATGAACACACCCAACAAGTCTCCTTTTAGTGAGGGTCGCTCAGCCTCAGCCCAGGGCTTAAAAGGCTGAGGCAGCCAGAGATAAGAGTGAGGCCCTCACTAAAAAATATCATCCACAAGAGGATGAAATTCATTCAAGCAGGGTTGATGAGGTGCCATAATGCTTTCACTCAGCCTGCTGAGGTCCAAGCACTGAACGAGTGATGGATCCTGAAGACACATCTCGTAAATAATAACGAGTAAAGGAACAGGGTGAAGCCCATGAAGCAGCCTGACAAATGACTTCCATTGACACACCACTGTGGGGCGCCACAGAAGAGGAAATCCCTCTGGCTGAGTGAGCCCTGAGTGTCTCAGGGGGGATCCCGCTCTGCTGATGTGTAAGCGAAATGGCGTCACATAGCCAAAGTCAAAGGCGCTGGGCCAACAGCGCGTGCCCAAGGGAAGACTCCCTGTAGTGCACAAACATGCTTTGTGAGCGGCGAATCCCTGAAGTGCGTGACACATATCGTGCGAGCGCGCGCACCGGGCGGAGAAGATGGGAAGTCGCCTCCTCATCAGAATTATGGGGAGGAGGAAAAAGTCCAGCCAATGAAATTGACCTGGATTTGAAGGAAGCATTAATGTTTTGGAGCACAAAGGCTGGGGCATAAAACAGCAGACCCGCCATCTTCCCGGATCCTGAGGCATGCGGGAGCCACTGAGAGGGCGGTTAGTTAGGTCGCTCACTCTCTTGACTGATGCCAGTGCCAGCAGCAAGGCAGTTGTAAGTGACAGGAACTTGAGTGAGACCTGGTCCAAGGGTTCAAATGGGGCTTCAAATAAGCCACGCAGAACCACCGTTAGGTCCCACTGGGGAACTAGCGGGCGGGACACAGGCCTGTTCCTTCTGACACCTTTTAGAAAACGTTTTGTGAGGGGATGACTGAAAACAGACCCATCACCAAAATCCTGGTGACAGGATGAGATAGCTGCAGCATATGTTTTAATAGTGCTGAATGCGAGGCCCCTGTCCGTCCGTAGCTGCAGAAACGATAGGACATCCGCCAGCTGGCAGGAGAGCGCTTGAACATTCCGCTCTGTGCACCATTTCTGGGAAGCTGCCCATTTAGCAGCATAAGATGTGATGGTAGAAGGCGCCCGCGCACTCTGAATCGTGGTGACCACATCATGCGGCAGCCCAGAAACCCCTAAGTGTGACCGCTCAGCGGCCAGACCCACAGCCGATGGCCTATTTCTGGAGGATGTTTGATTATCCCATCCGCCTGGGGAGGGGCGTCCTCCCTTTGCGGGAGTCTCCACGGGGAGCCAGACACTAGCACTTGCAGGTCCGGAAACCATGACGCGGACAAGCGTCTGGGAGCCACCAGAATTACAGAGAGCTGTTCTGACCGAACTCGGTCCAGGAGACGGGGAATCAGAGGGACTGGTGGAAACGCATAAAGGAGCGTTCGAGGCC